AGCAAGATTATCAACTCCAGCGACATCCAGAAGGTCCTCCGCCCCGTCCGTGGCGGAGCCGTTACCAAGCGCAGCCACACCCAGAAGAAGAACCCTCTCAAGAACTTCCAGGTGCAGCTTCGCCTCAACCCTTACGCTGCTACCTTCTCCAAGGAGAAGCTTGGCCAGAAGAAGCTCGAGGCTGGCAAGGCCGAGCCTGCCGCCGATACCTTCTACGAGCTGCTCCAGGATAACTAGATGGTTGTTGGTTAGCGTTATGGTTTCCTAAGGTGTTCTCTCTTCGGCTGGGATGGACTGGAATGATGAATGGCTATGATAAATGTAGCTTTTCTCAAAATACCTCATGAAAAGGTTGCTTCCATGTTTTGGCTGAATAATGTTTTTATGCAACTGTTCAATAATGTGATGACCCCATGCCTAAATGTCTGTGGTTTATCTTGTCATCCATACCCCCTTGGAGCTATCTGTCGTTGTGTTTTTTCCATGTCTGATTTTCCTGCGGGGTAGCTCACGCTTTGCAGCGCTCAAACAGTGTGTGCGAAACATTCTAAGAGTTGTTGTGCTTTAGCACTAAACCCATATTGCTAACATGATGTACACTGTGATGCCAACGCCATAAAGTATGTAACAATGTAACCCCAAAACGCCATCGCTATGCACGTAACCAAGAATTTCCTTTGTATCTTTCTTTCTTTCTTTTTTTTTTCACTTGAACAGTCTCTTCCCACCTGTCCTACCCATTGTCCTCTCCACACCCTCCAAACTCATACCCGCAAAACCCGCACCCCCACCATCCCTATCCCTCTTGTATCTCCGCAGCGCCTCCCTCAAATGTGCCGGGGTCAACGGCCCCTTGTCACAAGCCCGTAATCGCTCCTGCAAACTCGCATTCTTATCCACCTCCTTCCATATACTCTGCGTGCGATCCACCTGATTCAAGTACCACCCCGCACTCTGGATATCCGTATTCGTCGGTTTATTCCGCTCGTCTTTGATATGCGCACTCGGTCTTCCCAGGCTCTGGCTTAAGATGGGGCCTGGCAAGTCTGGGTTGGGCAGGTGGGTGCGTACGGCGGACCATTCGTCGCGGACGGTGAGGGCGCGGTCGATGAGCTCGCCGATGAAGGTTTTGGAGTAGGAAGTTACGGCGATGATGATGGGTTGGGGCACGGATTGCGAGAGGGTTTGGTTGACGAGTTTGCGGACGGTTTCGCGCTTGAGGCGGATGCGACGGTAGGTTGCGTAGCGGTCCATTTGCGCGGGGGTCATAAAGTCTTCTAGCATTCTGGAGTAATCGTTCGTATTAGTAAAGGATCAAGTTTGCTGTATGTGTGGTTTTTTTTGGAAAAAAAGAGAAACGTACCGTTCGTATTCTTTTTCTTGTTTGCGTCGGGCTTCGACGCTCATTCCGCCTTCAATCTCCATGCCCATTTCCTCGCCCATCTCGTCTTCGTCGTCGTCTTCCTCTTCTCCTTCATCTTCGCCGCCAACTGCACTCCTTCCATCGCCACCTTTGCCTCCTCTTACGCTCGAGCCTGCGACGCTTCCACCATCGCCGCCCTTCTTACGGCGCTTCTTGCTACCTCCAACACCATTGATAACTGAAGTGGTGATGTTGCTTTCGACCGATGGTGAACGCGAGTATTGGCGTGGCGAGCCACCGATGGATTCGGCATCGGGAGAAAAGGCATTGCGAAGATTAGAGGGCTTGCGCTTCTTAGCTGGTGCACCTGAGTGCGAAGATATGCTGCCACGCTTGCGGTTGCTGGACATGTTGAGCTGAGGGATGTGCGGTGGTGAGGCCATGGTTTTGTAGGTGATTTGTCGTTACTGCGAAGGCGCAAAATCCTATTTCCTTTGGAGCATGTGCGCAGCTCCAAAAATATTGAGCGGGGCGGAATGACGCTGATGGTAGTCGTTTGATTAGTGTCGTCGCGACTGTTGCGGAGAATGGAATTGACCCCAAAGTCGCGACGACCGCCGCCAAGCAATGTGGTTAGCGCGTTTGCTCCCTTCCGCTCGGAATGCGCCCGGCCGCGATTTCGTCATCGCCCCTAGCTGTGCTTGCTCTCACTAGGGGATTTCTGGATTCAGGAACCCTATCGATGGGAACTGCGCTTTGATCTCAAAGGTCTTTTTTTTTACCAAGGTCGCGTCATTGGTTGCGCCTTTACTATCTCACATAGACTTGAAGCAGCACTGCAGTTGGGCTTGTACCACCTCTATCACCTTGCTCTTAGCAGCGACGCTTCAACGCTCATGTAACACGTTGCTTTAGTACATTAAGAGATTTATGAATACTTTGGTCAATAAAGTTTTCAAAACGGATACTCTACCACAGCAGCGCTGACACGGCGCGAATGTGTTGGGTAAGGGGCTAGAGTTCCGTTATGAGAGCAGACTTTCTCAAACACTGTAATATAATTTACTGTATTATTTCGTACAGGATGTGTGTGTGAAGAGTTGACAGCTAATTCCAGTGGATTGCATGTAAATGTTCGACTTCAGGAGTGCAGATGAGTCGACCAGTGTGGATAACAAGGTAATCACTGTGGATGTTATGCGCATACTCTTACACCGTATGCAGGAGGATACACTGCAGTTTGGACACCGCAGTTATAGTCAAATAAGAAAAAAATGCGCGTCTATTCCATATTCTAATCGGAATAACAACGATCAAAATCGCTAGATATCAATCAGTCCGTTGATCTACAAGACACTTCACGAGCACGAAAAAAGCCTTTGCCAAAAACTGGAGAAAAAAAAGGTTTGATTAAAACTACACTTGCAAAGCAAAACTCCACTAGATCTACATCTCATACATCCCGGAGTATTACCCTCCTCCTCGTCCAAAGGTATCAAGTCATCACAGCATTCCACTCAACCCCCTACATGTACACACCTATTTCTTCGCACCCCCTCCACCAACCCACCCCCCAACCCAACCCCCCGCACTCTTCGCACCATCAGCCACACTCCCCGCACCCCCCTTCACTCCCTCCACAGCACTCTGTCCATACCCACCCAACGGACCTTGTCCCTCAAGCGGCCGTCCCTGCTCGTCCTTGCCACCGCGCTCAGCACGATTGATTCCTTCTTTCGACAAGGCGTCGCCGATGGGTTGTGCGAGACCGCCTTGGCCCACTTGGCCAGTGACAAGGCCGTTGACACCGTCTTGTAGGTTGTCGACCTGCGAGATGCCGGTGACTTTTGTTTTGTCGAGGTTTTCTGTGGATGGGAAGGTGAGTCAGTTGCTATTGCATGGCTTGGATGAGATGGACGAGAATATGAAAGGAAGAGGCAGAGAGAGAGGGGGGGGGAACGTACGTTTGGTGGCGTAGCTAGCCTTGTTATCTTTTGTGAACCATTTTAGATACTGGTCTTCGATCCATGGCATCCAGGTTTCGTATTTTTGGTTGTAATAGTCGTTTGCGGCTTGCTTGTAGGTTTTTGGTTGTTGTTGCTTGGTGTCTGCCATTTTGGAATGTGTTTGTGATGTGTTCGATAAAAGAAGAAAAAGCGAGACGTTCCTTAGGGTATCGTATAGATATGTAATGTGAATCGTGGATTGGGGGGGTATCAGTTATATTTCTTCACACAAGTGAACTAGAAATAAAGGAGAAAGAAAAGTCTTTGATCAATCAAGCACACACCAAAATATATACTACTACACACAAGCAAGCAAGCAACCCTTCATCATACTCCAGACCAACCCATCCAGCCCTCCCTACCTTGGCCCAGCCAACCACACACCCCCACTCTCCCTCCGATGCCGTGTATACGACGCCATCCACGCCAACAGTGATCTCATCTCCGATCGGCCAGGCCCTTTTCTCGCACCGGAGGGCCACCACCAGACAGGGGTATGCTACTTAAACAACGCAATGCCCAGGGTCCTTGATTTTTCCAACTTTACGAACCGGTTGCATGGGAGGGCGTTTGATGGGCGGCGTTGCGGACAAGGGTGGTGGGCCCTACGTCATCTGAACCACTCGATTCCAAGAGATCGGGACCCTCACCGATTGATCGTCCCGCGGTGCGCCTGCAGCGTTGGAAAACTTGCTGATTCACAATAACCTGCCTGTGTTGGTTAGGTGAGTTGATTTACTGGGTTTTTGCGCGGCATGCTGGTGGGTATGTGTGATGATGTGGTTGGGTAGGAGTAGGTATGAAGGTCTTTGGAGAGGAGGCAAATGGGGAATGGGAGGGTGGGTGCGAGACGATGGGTGGCTGTGTGCGCCTAGCTGCGCGCCACAGCTGTAAGACATGTCTTGACGGCGATCGGAGTCGCAGGTAGCTAAGGGCCAAGGTATGAGCGAAACGCTACACTACTAGTAATTTGGAGATGAGATATCCTTGTCTGCTTTCACATGTTGGGCACCTGCGTCTTCTACAGCATGATTGATAGTTTTATTCCGAAATTAAATACAACGCCGTACTCCGACAGTAAGAATATGACTCTTCTACTCAGTCTGGTGCCTTGGAAGCTAGTACTAGGTGGCCAGCAATAGCCATAGCAACAAGATGGCTTGTAAAAAGCAAAGCCAGAGAGGTCCCACTCGTACACTGCAATACGCAGCGATAACAAAATCCACAGTACATCATTTTTTTTTGGTGAGGAGACAGCATGGGCAATCGAAGCTGAAAAAAAACCACCTCCATTATAACTTTTCCGCAGAGCAGTCGAACGGTAACAAAGAATATTTCGCCAGTGGGCTGCTTCAGACAAGTCCAGCAGTCTCTTCTTGATCGCTTTCGGCAGAGGATGGTGTGGGCGAGTTTGTAGACCATTGTATGCCGTCAGTGGTAGACTCTTCATGAGTGATTCCAAGGCCGAGGATGCTACCGCCACGGTCTTCGTCTTGGTCATGATTAGTATCTCCATTAGCATAAATCTCCTGTGGATCAGGCGACGGCGCCAAGACTACAGTCGTCTCGCTCAGGCAGCTTCCTTGGCTACTGTCACTATCGCTACTGTTTTCGAAAATGTTATAGTTCTGATCTTCCAGGGAGGCAAGCCAGTCTACAGGTGTTTCTGGTCGGCGCGGTATTTCGAAATCAATAACCGGACTGTCGTCTAGTTCAACAAAGTCGCCACGTATGGCCTGACGGTCACGGTCATCTGCGAAATGAGGCGCATCCATGATGCCTTTCCAGCGGGCAATCCTCCTCTGTATCTCGCAGCGAACTAGAAACGAGTGAAAGTGTCTTTTGAAATCTAGCGGGAAGCCTTCACACAGATCAAGGAAGCATTCGTCTTCCTCACCACGCAATTGGCAAAGTTTGATGCGCTTGATCAGTACTTCCGTCATCTTGTACACGAAAGGTCCACAGGCACCATCATCGAAGCTGAATTGGTTGTGGTGGTTTTGATGCGGGGTGTACTGCTGGATTCGATATTGCCAATTTTTGACATCTTCTCCGAGGATTTTCAGCATGCCTCGACCGATTTGAAAACCAAGGTGTCGAGGGTGGTCGTTGCCAAGAAATAGAGAATCGTAATACGAGACTGTATGATGTATTCTGTCGATGGCGAGAAGCGACCAGTGATTTCCTTGCAAGCAGCCATTCTCAACGCCACCGATTGCATCGTTGATGACAAGAAAAATCCACGCCTTGTTTTCGAAACGTGCTCTATACTGAGCGTACTCCTGGGGACTACTATCTTCACTTTCCGCAGCGAAAAGGCATATTTGTGAGACCATGGAGTTGGTGATTGCGATTCCATGATTTTCACAATTGTAATCTCGACGGAGGACTTCAAGAGCCATGTCTAGACTTTCGTCTCGCATCCAAGGTTCGCCATGATCCCAGCTTGTACTTTTGATATGGCAGAAAGCATCGTTTTGAATTGTGATATCCCCTAGTCTGAGATACACGTTGGAATCAAATCGCGGGTGCAATTGGAACATTGTCATGAATGCGGGATATCGACCAGGATGGGGAACAAAACTCCAGTGGAAAAGAATGGGTAGAGGTTCCAAGTCGAGAGATTTGTACTGACGAGGCGGACACTGTTGTACGTTAGCATAGTGTTTAGCTACTTCTCCGTGTGAATGAACTATACGAACCCTGATATCTGTTTCTTCCCAGTCCATTGCGAAGCAGGTGCCCCAGTTTTCAGTAGTATTGACATCGATGCTATACCGCCGCTTCAGCAGTGGAGGCCTCGTCTGCCTTGTGGGTAGTAAATTAGCGCGCTCGAATCCACGCGAACCGATCATGAACATCCTGAAACTCTTATAGCGCATGCTGTGTCGTGTATTTTCAAAGCTTATGGAGAGCCCCAGGCGCGCATGCTTTGCTACTCTAGATTGGTTAAAGTACTTTGCAATAGGGGGAACCACTTGATCAGATGGCCGAGTCATAGTAGCTGTTGTACGGGCCGTAGGACTGTCGGGCGTAGACACAGGTGCTGAGGACTTCAGCGTACCCTGAGGGGGTGTAGCTGGTGGCGTCATAGACGTTTTGTTATCCTGATCCTGACTTGGGGGAGGAATGAGCGAAGTCGTGTGAGGGACAGGTACATCTTCTTGTAGTTGTGCCTTTGTTTCCAAACATCCCTCAAGTTCTGAAACTATAGAAATCCCAGTCACAGGTGGCGAGTGGGTTTGAAGGTGTGCCTGAATACGTGCTTCAGTATTCCTAGGCGAGTCAACGCCCAGCGTTGATGTGCCCAAGTCGGAACGGGCGTTGTGAGTATTTGCAACGGTCGTTATTTGGGTGCTTTCACTAGATTCTGAGCCTGCAGACTCTAGAGCTGTATGGCATTCTGCCTGAGGTTCGGCATGGACGTGCAGTGGGGAGGATGGTGCTGGTGAAGAAGGTGCGACCTGCGTAGTGATCTGTGCCGGGTCGCGCCTATCGGTTTGCTCTTCTAGCATCTCCATGACGTATTGGGGTATTTCTTTGATCATCGTATCTTTGGAAGAGGTTGGAGCGCTGGTTGCATTGTAAGGAATGGCTCTTTGTGGAAAGAAAGTGATTGTTGGTACCTGACAAGTCGACCAGCGCTTCCTGGAGACACGCTAGAGTGTATACGAACAATTGTTCTCTGAGGCGGGGTTGCAGCGGTGAAAGTGGAAGTCGTGTGCGGGTTCGCGACGGTAGTGAATGATGGCAGGCAGTGGCTAGGCTGAGACAAGTGTTTGTTGCTGTCGAGACAGAGGACTGGGCGCTGAGGAACAAATAACCGGCAGTCGAGGTCTAGGTAGATACAAGGCTTGAGTGAGAGGGGAACTCTTTGTACCGGTGATGGAGAACAAGCGCGTTATTGTGGGGGAAGCAAACTGTATTCCAACACAGCACACGTAGCTGCATTCACGGTTGAAGTAGCGAGAGTTGAACAGTGAGAGGGTCGGGAACAGAGCATCACTCTGGCGCTTTTCTTTTTACATTGGGGAAATATTTGTGAGTCAATTCAAAAATCTCGTTAAATTTGGTTATGCGAGCTCGCTGATTCCCCAGTCTCTAGGGGCATCCGCAATTGAGGAAACTATATAGTGCCGTTATTATCTACAATCAGGCCACTCTCCAATGGTCCCTATATTACGTCACACCAACCATATCTGCGAGAGTTCGTAAAGTGATTATCATGATTCGGGCTATTGAGTGACTATGTGCGTGGCGTGTACAATGCAAGTGATATCATTGCACGTGTCTGTGTGGCACTGAGAGTGAGAACCAAGGTACTGAGCATTCCTCCGAGTGAGAGCCGCCAAACGCCTGCTTCGCACACGACTCATGAGAGACATGCGCTGAAATGAGGTTGCAGTTACCTTGTAGTATCCAGGTGGGTGATCAAAATCTGGACAACAGCCCTCATATACGCAGTCGCTCCATGTAGCAACGACAAGGTGACAAAGCGCTTGCTCGACTTGAATACGTCGACCGTATCACTGTCCAATCGCCTGCAAGAGAATTCGGAAAGAGGGAAACTGCCTCCCAAAGCACACTTTCACCCATACTAGACATACGTAGATGAGCATAGCAAAACAATTCTCGAAAAAGTGATACTATTTACAAGTGCAAAGAAAGGTGCAAGAGATACGTAGTGGTATATGAACTATCAAGGAAAAAAAATCACACACACACAAAAAGAGAACAAAAGACACCGAACGGTCATCAGCTGTGTGAAGAGAGTGCCGGCGACGGAGGACCAGCTGCGCCTACCGCGCATGATAAACCCTCGATGGCTCTTGGATAACAAGCACCCAGCCCATCCCCCCCCCCTATGTAGTTCATGCTGCCAAATGTCATGACGACTTTTCGGCGCCTATACAATCCCCACAGATGCTCCTTGAAGATGCTGGAGAAACAAAGAAAAGGTAAAAAAGAAAAGAAAAGAAATCGACGAAAAACATTCCGTATCTGTCTTTCCAGTAACAAATTTGCAACACTGCTGCATCCGCTCACTCTGAGAATTCTTCTCAGGCATTTGCCGCGTGTGAAAATCAAGCTTTTGACTGACCCGCATTTCTATATCATGCCATGTGTCCAACGTCCGCTCCGTACTGGAACGGTGTATGGAGCTTCTAGTCTACTTACTCTCCGGTGCTGGATCCTCTCAGCCTTCTACCAAGGCTCACATTGCGACCGAGATCTGTCATGCCACCCACTGAATGTCGGTTGCTTGGGTTTCGAGCAACGCTCAATTGCGTTCTAGCTCGTAAACCGGCGGACAAAGGCTTTTCGAAGTGGGCTGGAGATCCCTCTCGGCCTAGGTTGTGACCGAACCGATTCTGATCACGGAACAAGAGACTGTGCTCATTCGACGGCGTACTGCTCGAAACACTTGGCCGACGAAGGTGCGATGTCGTCTGGATAGCAGGCGATGGCTGTAGGTCAGATATTGGCTCGCGAGAACCAATCTGCCGACCGGTGCTGTACCGGTTACTCTCATTTTGTTGCTGCCGCGACCGGAAGTCGATCGACGTCATTGCACGAGATGGTGCCCGGAATAGTATTGTGTCGTCGTCATCTTCCTCGGTACTCTTGCGTGCACGATGAAGACTTGTGCCTGCTCGCTGGAGTCGCGACGCGAGGTGCCTGTCGTCGTATGGCTCTTGACTTGTCTCTCGTTGATTACCCCCAGTTCCAACGGCAAGCATACTGCTCCTTCGAGCCTCTATGCGAGACATTGCTCTGCTGGGACTAACACCAGACAATGTATTGCTCTCAGGTTCGATGCTTTCTCGTATGGTTGGTGATTCGCCGTTGAACTGGACGCTTGGCCGACGAGAAATTGTGGCTGTACTTGACCGAAAAGCAGGACTGGCGAAGCCTGTCTTGGTGTCACATAGAGCTATACACAGCTCTGTCAAACTCCGGCAAAGGTTGTCAGCTTTACGCCGAACTTGACGATCAGACACGATTGCACCATTGGCGATGGTGCTTGCCGAATGAAGTGTGCCCTGAGGACCAGCACTGCCGCTCATTTCTGCGAGTGCTAATGCCTCCTGTGCAGTTGCTTCCAACGTGCGATACACTGCGGGTGATATGTGTTGTCGGGCCTTGGCTAGCGCCTCCCTCAAAAGCGGATGGGTTTTGTTGTTGTTGTTGTTGCTGCTGGTGTTGTTACTGGTGTTATTGTTGCCGTTAGGGGTAAGAGCGCCGACTGTAGAGTCAGACGGAGACAGGTTCGCCTTTCGCTGTTGGTTTGGCGATGAAGACACAGTCGTAGCTGAAGTATTCGCTGTCCGTGGGCGATCTGCTGACGCTTGAGATACAATTGCGCCCGACGTTGAAGGTATCTTGCCTCCCATTTCAATCTTGCGTATCCGGGACTTGAGTTCATCCAGCTCGTCCCATACGGACGCTGCAGGTCCTGTGGAGCCATGCGATTCGGTACCGTCGGCGCGCGAAGCAGCTTCAAATGATGTCTCTATGTGGGGTGTGCGTGGTTCATGGGAGAGATTCGACGGTCTGTATGGCTGAAGGGGTGTACGGCTTGGGGGTGTGACGTCTGGCTGAGATGCGCGCCTTGTTGAGGAGAACTGGGCCAGGAAGTCGCGTGGTGAGAGATCCGAATCCCTCCGTACCGAACTTAAAGATACCTTGTGCGATAGTTGAGGCGTCCGGTGTGCTGGTTCAGGTGCTGGTGAATTTTGGGCCCGCTCATAGCGGGAGGGAGTGGGCAGGAGCGAGCCCCGACGGAGACCGCCTGACCTGGCGTCTACGACAGAGGGTATACGACTCGAGGTTGCCGTGGCAGAGCTGGACTGCGACGGCGACGGCGTCTGTAGAGCTGATGGGTATGACTGTCGTTCATTTATTCGGGCGACTCGAGACTGTGGTGGTTAGCTTCCTGTGCATACTGTTGACGGCGCACGGGGGATAGAGGATTCGGACACACTGGGAAGCTGCCAGAGTCGAGCGGCCATGGTACACGCATGTCGCTGCAATCCGAACACATCTTGAAGACTGGGTGGTCTCACCTTCAACCGGTCAATCCGCGCTGTGGACTCTGCTGTGCGCTGTTGCTGCTGCTGTTGCTGCTTGGGCGCACTATCTGCGGCAATATTTAGGAACAGGTCCTCTTTGTCGCCATCTGTGCCTGGAGTCACGGGCGCAGGCGCTCCCCGTCCGCTGTGCGCCGCATGGTAGTCCTCCATCCGGCTGCGGGGACCAGAATCGTATTCGGACGACTCGGTGGAGCTGGCCATTCGTCGGGGCGGAGGCCGGGAGCTGGCGGTGGAATTGCGTCTGGGGGCGGGCGGGCGCAGGAGGCTTGGGGACGCCGTGGTGCTTGTTTGTTGTGGTTGCTGGTGGAGTTGTTTTTGCGGGGGGCCGTTCCAGTTGCCCGTTTCTTCCTCCCCGCGTCGCTTGCTCAATGGGGTCGGGCCAGTGTGCGATGCCAGTGCGGTGGGAGAGAACTGCTGGTGCGCATAGGTGAGATCGGCGGGATTCTGCGAGCTCCGACTGCGCGTAACTAGGGTGACGGGAGGACCGCGCGAATTGTCTATGCCATGGGCACTATGGGAGGCCGGGGGCCGACGTGCGGCAGCGGACGAGGACGAGGTGGTCGAGGGCAGACGTAGCAGGGTCGGGGGCTCGGGGTTTGTGTTTGTGCGCTGGCGTGTGGGCTTGGGGGCGGGCGACGTGTGCGCGGTCAGCGTGTTGCGCCGGGAGGGGTCGTGTTGTTGTGGTTGTGGTTGTGGTTGACGCAGCGGCGTCGGCGGGTGCTGGCTCTGGTGCTGGTGCTGGTGCTGGTGTTGTTGTTGTAAGGCTCCTCCAGACGATTTCCGAAAATGGGTCGGCATGGCTGCAGGAATCCAGGTGCGCTGGCACACACCAGACAGGGATGACGGGCAACGTTTCAGAGCGCACACTCAGCCTGCCATGGCTGCTACGAGGGGGGCCCACAGACTGCGCGTACGCCTTGGTAAATTGCACATAGTGCCTTTGCTGTTCAAAGGTAGATGCTGGGACGCTGCGGCGCTGCACATGGCCAGTATTCTCGACCTTGGCCCATTTGCTGCTAGGGTGGCCGGGCCTTTACACGACATGGCACATTGCCCCCTCAAGAGAGCGAATGATGTGCAGCCAGCCCTATGCTATACCCGTCGCCCACCACCTATAGCACCCGCTATACCCGCCCTCTACTCATGCTAAACCTTTCCACCGCCTCCATCGTTGCCAGCCCGGGAGGGACCGTGTGCTCAACGTCCGGACGGGCGCCAGCGGCACCGCATCGCCATCTACCCAGCGATTGCGCCCTGCTGCTCACAACTGCAACCCCTTCTGCCAACTGACTCGCAGTCCCTCGCTCTTAAATGAGCTTCTGCTCACGCCTAATCTTACCCTCCTCCTGCGCGAGCCACACACCGCTGCTTCGAAAAACACCTGCTTTCTTTTTGTCCCGTCCCAATTCGAGGCGACGAGCGAAGCCGCATTGGGCGAGCGCTGCAGCGTGGCTGTCATGACCGACCCTGTTCCTGCATTCGCTATCCCCGGGCAGTGATGCCATCCACGGAGCGCATAAGCGAGTTGGCACGGCCGATATGACACTGAGGTTTCTGGGAATTTATGCTTTATGCAAGCCTGATAGTGTAGTAGTGTATAAAAGGAGACTCGTATTGGTGTACTCAAGAGCCAGACGCCAAACAAACCCTTGGTCCGTATGTAGTACGCGTACTCGTGATATGAATCCAGAAAAACATGATACTTGGCACAGACTGACTGGCTGCGTGTGAATGCACTAGAGTGGAGGCACAGTTGGCACTCCGGTGAAGGCTTCGAGGCACATCTCACGTCTCCATGGCGCCTCCCGCCATCCTGCCTACCAGGCTCTGGATCACGTGACACGGTTCCGGCAGAACCAGCCCGCCGACGAGCCCGACGAAATAATCTTGTCTTGCCATCGCCTCCGCCCAGGCACATCTCTACGGTCGCGATACCCAACTCTGTCCCCCCATAACCATCAAACATGTCTGTCGCGACGCTGTCCAAGTCGCTGCCCAAGCCGAAATACTCGGGTGAGGAGGAGGAACTCACCAACAGCACGCGTGTGCTGAGCTCCGAGCAGTACGAAGCGCAGGTCGCACGAAAGCAGAATGGCCCACCCGCATACGGTAGCAGGCAAAGTTGGCGGCCCCGCGTGCCCGAGGACTTTGGCGATGGAGGCGCGTTTCCAGAGGTTCACGTCGCGCAGTATCCGCTGGATATGGGCAAGAAGGGCACACCATCCACATCCAATGCCCTCGTAAGGAGAGTCGACGGAGAGGGCAAGACCAAATACGATGAGATTGCGAGGCGCGGACACGGCGACTCAAGGATCGTACAGGCGAGCTTCAAAGACTTGATCCCGCTACGTCAACGAGCGGATGCCGGCGAGCTGGATTTGTCGCGTCCGAGCCAGGAAGTGGTACAGGCAACAAAAGAGAAGACAGAACAGGCACTCATGGCCTTGGTAGCAGGACAGACTGCTGCACAGCGACCAAAGAACGTACAGGGTCGGAAAGACGATGAGCCTACCTTTGTGCGATACACCCCAACCGCACAAATGGGCGAGGCCCAGGGAAAGACGCGCATCTTCAAGATTCAACAGCGGCAGATCGATCCTATGGAACCACCGAAATTCAAGCACAAACGTATTCCTCGCGGACCGCCATCTCCTCCGCCGCCCGTTCTACACTCTCCGCCGCGAAAACTGACCGCCGAAGATCAAGAGATGTGGAAGATTCCGCCTCCCATTAGTAACTGGAAGAACCCCAAGGGTTACACAGTACCTCTAGATAAGCGTCTGGCAGCCGATGGGCGGGGTCTCCAGGACATCACAATCAACGATAAGTTTGCGCAATTCGGCGAGGCTCTCCAGGCTGCAGACAGGCACGCTCGAGAGGAAGTCAAGCAGCGCGCCATTATGCAACAGCGCTTGGCAGAGAAGGAGAAGCTGCAAAAGGAGGAGCACCTGCGCAACTTGGCAAAACAGGCTCGAGAAGACCGTGCGAATGCCTCCCGAAGGCGATCCCAGAGCGATTCAGAAACAGACTCGGAGGAGGAAGAGGTGCGGAAGCGAATGGATGCCCGCAAAGAGCGTCGCGAGGATTTGCAGCGTGAACTCCGTCAGTCGCGCATGGGCAATGAGCGCAAGATTCAGATGCTTGCTCGTGAGCAGAACCGTGATATCTCAGAGAAGGTTGCTCTTGGCCTGGCAAAGCCAACACAAAGCGGAGAGTCCATGTATGATGCTCGATTGTTCAATCAGTCGAGTGGTTTCAATGCTGGTTTCAACGAGGACAACCATTATGACAAGCCTCTTTTCGCCGCTCAAGACGCAATAAGCAGCATCTACCGCCCGAGTGTACAACAAGACGACGGAGAAGATGACGGGCAGACGTACGACAGGCTCACAAAGACGAGCAAATTTGAAGTTTTAGGCAAGGCGAAGGAAGGCTTCAAGGGTGCCGATCTACAAGAAGCTCGAGATGGACCAGTCCAGTTTGAGAAGGATACTGACGACCCTTTCAACATCAATCAGATGATTGACGAGGTTCGGGGCGAGAAGAAGGGCGAAAAGCGATACGGCATTCAAGAGCCTGAGGGCAGGTCAACGAAAAGGGCTAGGGTAGATGATGACAGTGATTGAGCAACCTACGGTATTGCCATAGGCGTTTGGACATTTTTTTTTGGCGCAGTACAGATTGCTGTTGCAATCTTTCATGAGCATTGGAAGCGATCACAGAGGCCAAGTTATCTGGTCTTTTTAATATTCAATATCTGAATGTGCACTGAACCTCCCAAAATAGCGGAAAATGGCCTGGAAACGTGCTGGGTAATATATGCATGTCTAGCATTACCATTGACGTCAACCAGCAGCCCCATTTTCTAGTTGCTGAGCTGATGCTGACTACCAATGTCGTATTGCACCTATTGGCATTCGCCGGCTAACTGTAACTTTGGCATCGGATGGTGCACCTGGCTCGGATAGTCGCTATCCCCGGCGTAAACTCCTGTCGGTACTTTGCAAAGTATTCCTCTACGACCCCGCCATCCAATGTTGTCCCGTGCCACGCTATGGCGAGTACATATCTAGTCGGAACTCGGTAGCTATCTGCGTCTGGTTTGCGCTGGTGTGCATAAGAGCTGCCGATATCTTGCCGGTTGGCGGGTCTTGAGCACGTTTCATTATTTACTATCAGCTTACTTCGGAGTTGGTCCTGCCATGCAAAGTAATTGCGGCGTGTATTTGAAGACGCCACACCTTTTAATCTGCATACACTAGCATTACATTCTCACTATACAACCCACCAAGACAAGATGAGCGAAAGAAATTCAGCGGTATCTGGTAACAAGGAACACAAGTTCAATCCAAAATTTACGGATGCAGTGATCAATGCGACAGGGCCCAATGCTACCCCTAGGGTCAGACAGCTCGCGGCGGGGTTGATACGGCATCTGCACGATTTCGCGAGAGAGAATGAGCTTACGGTCGATGAGTGGATGGCAGGTGTACAGCTTGTACGTATACACGTTTTCTTAGGCTACGCATCTAGCCTGCACTCTACCTAACGCATACTAAGGCTGGATAGATGAACGAAGCAGGTCGCATGTCCGACTCTAAACGCAATGAAGGCCAATTGCTTTGCGATGTTCTCGGCCTTGAGTCACTTGTCGATGAGATAACATACAAGCTCGCTTCCACAGCTGCAGATGAACCTACCGCTACTGCCATCTTGGGACCCTTCTACCGAGAAAACGCACCGGAGCTACCCATGGGGTCTTGTATCGTGTCGAAGGAAATCAACGAACAAGGCGATCGTACCTGGATGCATGGAACAGTCACCGACTTCAAAACTGGAAAGCCTATTGAAGGTGCAGTAGTAGACGTCTGGCACACGGCACCAAATGGCCTGTATGAACAGCAGGATGCCAATCAACCAGATATGAACCTAAGGGGAAGGTTCACAACTGGAAAGGATGGGACATACAGCTTTTACTGTTTACGGCCTGTGCCATATCCTATTCCTTTTGATGGTCCGGCTGGAAAGGTACTACAGGCGCTCGATAGGCACCCGATGCGGCCGGCACATATACATTTCTTGCTCACGGCGCCTGGCTACAAGCCTATCGTTACGCAAATTTTCGACCGCAAGAGCAAGTATCTTGACGATGATGCCGTCTTTGCAGTCAAGGATTCACTCGTTGTAGATTTCAAGCCTTTCGAGGGTGATCCGAAAGCAGATTTTGAGCTACCCTATGACTTTAAGATGGCGAGCTTCAAGGATGCGGAGAAGCACTCAGTTGCGGGGACGACAGAAGCGAGTGCCTAAGTAGACCAAACCAAGCATACACTTTTCTGTGACATTCCAGCATATCTTTAGTGACACTCTTGCGGCATAACATTTGAGATAATCATCAGTCTTCTGTGCTCCGAGCGTGCTTGTGCTCCGAACCTAGCTGGTGTCCCGAACTTAGCTGGTGTTCCGAATCCAGCTATGTATTCCGATGCAAGGCCGCTCCCCGCACTACCTCCACTATCAACTAACCGTCTCCAACCGACCCGCGGTTGTCAATCATTACGCCCTACGCGCCCTAGCTCGAGACTACTTGACCTTTGTTGTTATTGTATATTTATTTCTAGTTTTGTATTATTCTTGTCGTCATCCAAGCCATCGCTTACATACATCGTCACACCCAAGTCTTTGCGGGGTCAAGTTTACAGTACGTCTGCCAGGGTTACCGGCTACGTATCACGCCCTAAAACACTCTTAGGTCAACCTATTAACAACATCCAAGGCAGCCACCCAAAGACCACAGAAACATTGCCAGCTTTGCAACAACATTAGAGCAGAGAATTATCTACGCGTACCCATCATGGCGGAAAACAAAATCCCTCTTGGGCGTTACATGTGGGAACGTATCCATCAAATCGGTGTGGACACAATCTTCGGTGTACCAGGCGACTTCAACCTCCAGTTTCTCGACCAAATTTTCCACGTTGATAGCCTGAAGTGGACGGGCAACCAAAATGAGCTGAATGCATCTTATGCCGCAGACGGCTATGCCCGCATAAAGAACGTTCCTGGATGTTTCGTCACCACTCATGGTGTCGGTGAATTAAGCGCACTGAATGGCGTTGCGGGCAGTATGTCTGAGAACGTAAAGGTCATACATGTTGTTGGGCAAACCACGCGTGCGATGCAGAAGAATCATATGATGATTCATCATAGCATTGGCTCGAAGCCAGATCATCAAGTATACAACAAGGCCAGTGAGGGGCTACGATTTGCCGCTGCAGAGCTCTGGGACATTGAAAATGCACCAAGTGAGATTGACCGTGTACTCCGAGAGTGTGTGATCAAGAGTGGACCAGTGTACATTTTCTTGCCGCTGGATCTGAGTGCCGAGTTGGTGGACAAGAGTTTACTTGACAAGAAGATCGACCTGGCCCCACAAGTCGATGAGAAGGCACAGGAAAAGGCAATCGATGCCATTACCAGTGCGATTGCTGAGGCTAAACAGCCAACTGTCGTAGTAGATGCGCTTGTGCACCGGTTCGGTGCCATTAAAGAAGCCCAACAAGTAGTCAAGAAGCTCAACGTTCCGTTCTTCTCGACAAACATGGGCAAAGGCATTGTCGATGAGAGCGAAGAAACATTTGTTGGCGTATGGAATGGCGAAATTAGTACTCCAGGTGTTAAGGAAGTTGCAAAAGCAGCTGATTTGGTCATAACGCTGGGATATGTGCCATGTGACACCAACACGGCTGGTTTCTCGAGACAGTTGGACGAAGGGAAAGTGATCCACATCAACCCATTTGATGTTGTTGTAAGTCCTATCTGCCTCAATTAGCCTCTGCTCCCATTTATATGGCGATTGGTACTAACAATGAAAAATTCAGGTCAAGGGCACATCCTATCCATCCACCGCCATACAACCACTCCTTGCCGCTCTATCTGCTGCTCTCCCCTCAACAGCCCAACACTCAATAGCCAAGCCACAGCTTCCCCCTCCACGCACACCTCTGGATGTAGACGCCAAGCACCTGACACAATCCTGGCTCTGGCCCACGATAGAAGCCTTCCTCAAGTCTGGCGACGTCGTCATCAGCGAAACAGGTACCTCGAACCCTGGAATCGGCGACATCACCTTTCCCAAAGACATTACTCTCATAACGCAGATCTACTACGGCAGCATCGGTTTTGCAACTGCAGCCACGCTGGGCGCTGATCTTGCAAGGCGCGAGCTGGAGGCAGTGAACAAGCGTAACAAGGGAAGGACGATACTGGTTACTGGCGATGGATCCATGGCGTTGACCATTCAGGAGATTGGCACTATGATCAAGGCAAAGTGCAAGGCTGTGATATTTGTCATTAACAACGAGGGATATACCATTGAGCGGTTGATCTGGGGTGCTCGACAACGTAAGTACTCTTTTTCTCTATCATACCCCCTCGTCTCGCTGTTTTTTTTTCACTCATAAATTCTTACAATTCCTAGCATACAACGATATCGTTCCTCACAACTACTCTCACCTCCTCCCCCTATACCACCACCCAGACCCGGCCTCGTCGTTCCACCGCGCGGCAACAAAGGAAGAGCTTACCGCTATCCTGGCGAAACCCCAGGTGCAGCAGCCCGAAAACGTGCAGCTTGTAGAGCTGGTACTGGACAAGCTGGACACAAGCTGGAAGCTCGGCACAACCTTGGCATGGAGAAGCGAGGAGCACAAGGAGTATCTTACGCGAGAAGGCTTCGTAGACACATACGGTGGATGGAGTCTTGAAGAAAAGGCCGGTGGAAGCGTAAAGTGGAGCTAGACATATCTCCTCTCCCTCGTTCCTTTTGTCATTCTCATATCTTTTATATCACCCCGAAGGCTATATGTCATACCCTTAGATACATATCTATTCCACACATAGATGATATGATGAACAAGAAATCTACGCAAAGACGGCAAGCAAACAAAACCACACCACACAAAGCTCATACAACACTAATGGTGTCTTATCCCACATCGACATGACGGCTGCAAACCCGCATCGAAGCGGTATCGTAGAGGCCATCATACGCCTATTTCCCTGCAACGTGAAGATGAGTTGGTACCATCCCACTGCTATGGTAGCAAGTCCTTTTTCCACACAGAGTCAGTGCTAGCAAAAGGATGTCTTGAGAAAAAAAAAAGCAGTGTAGAAATTGTTGGGTAGTTTGAAGAGGGGGGAGAAAAGGGTAAATTTACCGATTGATTGCAAGGCCCGATCCGAAGCTTCTACACCGGTTATAGCGGCGTATTCTTGCGTGTTGACGAAGCTGTATGCGCCGAGGGCCATGTTGACGAGGGAGTGCAGGATTAGGAGCATGCGGGCCATGCGGGAGAAGGGCGACATTTTTGCTTTCGTTCTTGGAATTGAATGAGGTGGGATGAGTGGTTGTGTTTGGATTAGGTTACTGGAAGGTGTAGCTGGAGTAGTTGATGCTGGGGTGTTGACAAAGGTGATGAAAGAGTGGGTACCTCTGTTTAGATAAGCGACTACTAGGATTTTTTTCCTGTTGCAAGGCTTTTCACTTGGGTTGGCGCTAGCAAGCCAGGTATGCTGGCAAGCTGCCAATTCGAGATCGGCTATCCTAACATTTTTGGTGTGGGAGCTTTGAGTGCGTCCCTTGTTTGATTTGCATCACAGGAAAATACCAGGCAGATAATGAATACAGCAACATGGTACACACAAGAGCGTCATTAATGATATTTGATACATGAATTAAAGGCATAGTTCATTATACAAACAAAAACGCCCCATGAATGCTGTATAATGCCGTGTTCAACAGGTCGGCTAGAAGAAAGACTGGTATAAGAAAAAGCCGAAAAGAAAAACGCTGAAGGGGGTTGAAGCATCGCTCGCCGGCAATGTGAATCGGTAGTTATACAAAAAAAATGAAGTAAGAAGAAGACATGGTGATTATGCGCCCAGCGCTATAAGCCTGCTCTTGATGTCCGTTGGCCTCATCATCTGGTTGATAACCACACTAGACATGGCTCCCATGCTGACAAGGGAGACGTATCCTGGTGCAACCTCGTTCGCCAGCACTTCCACACACTTCATTGCCTCGTCTTTTGAGATGGGAGTTCGGATGGAGCCTTGCAGGGCCTGTACAAGAGCAGTAGTAGAGAAAGAAACACGAGATCCAGGTTTGCTGGCACAAAGGAGGGAGAGAACGCCAATGACTTCTGGAGTACGTTGGAGTGCTGCTCTTCGTTGAAGCTCGGCAGGACTAGGGGCGGCGGGTCCAGCTTTGGCGGCTTCTTGTTTGGCGAGGATGCGGTCGAGAAGATTGGTTTTGCGAACAGCAGCGAATTCGGTGATCTTGGGTTGTGCAGGTTGAGTCTGTTGTGTTTGGCATGTGGTAGACTCGTTTTCTTTGTCCGTTGCTGGCCTTGTCTTCTTTTGTGCACGCCCTTGCTGAACACTTTCCTTGAACTCTCTCAATCTCTTGCGTCCTTTTTCTTGTGATGGTGCAAGCGCGACAAGTGATTCGCATGTGGTGATCTCGGCAAGGGGAAGTTGGCTGAGGAACTTTGAGATGGAAGCGTCGTCGAGGAAAGTCTCCATGGTTGCTTGCTTGACATCGGTCTTCTTTGGGCGTCCCCGTCCGCGTTTGGGTACGGCAATAGGTCGAGTCGGCATCTTCTGCGATGCACACCATTGCGACCACAATGTGTCTAGGCCCTCCTTGAACATTTCTTGCAGGCCTTGTTCGTTCATGTGCGTCATTCCGTTCATCATCGGGCTGCTCTCCTTGATCTCAATGCAAATCTTGCCATGGCCATAGTCGGATAGGTAGTAGGGGTTGTTGGCGCCAGAAGGGCCTTGGTCGAGGATTCCGATGAGCAGCCGGACGTCATCGTAAGTGACCTTGCGCTGGCGCCATACCAGAGTTGTAGACGCAGTCAAAGCCTGGAGATCTGCGGGTGTCGAGATTCCGTTGTGCGCGTAATGCAGTGAGAGGGCAGTCAGAAAGGACGAGTGGAGTGCGAGAAGGTTGACGAGCTCGGCTGGAAGCTGGCCAGGAGCAATGGGCGACATTGTTGAAGATAGAGGTGAGAATGGTACGGCAATAAGATACGTGGATCAATGTCGATAAGAAATATGCCGTGCGGGCGTCGCTTTGTGGTGCAAAGGAGATGGGGTGCTGTATATGAACAGAGGGGGTATGTAAAACAAGGAAGGGAAAGGAAGGAAGCAGAGACACCCTCGACGCGTTGCGCGTTCGCGTCGCGTAACTTAAGGCCCCACCCATTTGAAACCCGAACGAGTAATTGCCCCGCCCTATGGCAGCGCGTCCACCACTCATTCTTCTCCATACGCATCTAGACAATGACGCGCTGAGTTAGACAGTGTTCTCTGCTATCGAACGATATCATCTTCTTTTTCTTCATCACCCCGCACCCGCACGCAAACGCCATACAGCCGGTCTCGCGTACACACACGCGAACCACTACGCGACAGGAAAACCAGCAGTGGTATATGTACATATGAGTATTACATTATGCTACCGAGATGAAGGAACTGATACCCGTGTACTCCAATGCTCATGCAAAGTGCCAGAATAATGCTTCTGCTCTCTTCTGGTCTTACCATCACCACACCAACAGCACACTCATGCCCAATGCTTTACTTGCTACCACCAAACCAGCCGCCGAACCAGCCTGTTGCCTTTGCTGCCTTGTCCTCGACGACGGCATCAAACTTGTTCGCCGCTGCGTTGACCTGCTTGCCGGCTTGGTGTAGCTCTTGTTCAGCAAGCGCCTTTGCATGCTCGTACTGCTTTTTCGCATCGGCGCTGTAAGCATCGAACTTCTTCTCCAGTCTGTTCGCCTCCGCCTTGGCTTGATCGGCCTGGTCCAAGTTAGGACCATGTTGCAAACAAGAAAAGACTATTTCAAACTTACGTATTGCTGTGCGGTGGCGCGTACTGCCTCGTAACCCTCCTCGGCTGCTTTCTTCGCTTCCTTGTCCTGGCCAGGGTAGTCGCCTCTCAGTCTGCGCGTAGCAGTCGCCGCATCGTCTATGTATCAGTCAGTTTGCGCTCTGTGTAAAGCGACGCTCGATGACGTACGTTCTGCTTTCTTCTCGGCAAGCTTCGGGTCACCTCCAGCGCTGTAGAGGTAATAGGTCGCTCCACCAATAGCAGTAAGACCACCGTAGGTTAGGAATTTGCGAGACATGTTGACTGAGATGATTGCTTTTTTTGGGGGAAGGTTCTTCGAATTTGGGGAGGAATTAGATTGTGTGAATTTGCAAATCAAAAATGAAGAATCAGCGCTGTTAAGAAAGAGGGGAAGACTTTCAAGGCAGCGCAGTTGGTGTGACGTAATTCCTGCGCAGTTGGATGGTCCAACTACGCGTGCGAACTAGATCGCCAAACTAGTGAACTCCTCGAAAAGCATCATGACTGTTGGGAACCACACGCCATTCATTCTGCAGTTTTGCTTCTGCCAACGTAACTCCGTTTTCCCGTAGTTTTAGCGTGACTTGCAATTTAGTTGCGCGGCGTTTGACATTCTTCGGGCGTGCGTGCATCGTCCTGGCTACGAACCCCCTATACATCAACCTTAGCACCCTTCGCAGCAACGTGTTCACGACCCCGAGCGATACTGCGAATCGATCCTCGTTTCCTTGTACGAAAGCATCAAAACTCTCCGGAGCTCCAGACGCAGCGTGGCGCGCCTGTCTAACCACATCGACCTCATGTCTCGGCGATAGCAACAGCGTCCGCCTTCGACCTCCTTCCTACACATACCCAGCTCAACACCATGGCCGACCAGCAAATAAGCCTCGTCGACCACACAAATGGCGACAACACGCCTTCGACGACCGTCACGCAATCCGAGCAGCAGCTCACGAATACTAGCTCCCACATCGATATTCTCTACGAAAACCAGCGCGGTTGGTTCGTGTTCGGCATACCACTCTTCTCCTCCAAGGCGCTGTGGAACCTGAGAATCGATCCCGCGCCCTGGCAAGATGCCAAGTTTAAGCCTTCAGCTGTCAACATCACAAACGCACAGGTGCCTGACCCGAGCTGGGTATGGGACTGGAAAACTTGGTATGTCGACATGAGCCTGGACGTCGATGAGGAAGGCTGGCAATACAATTTTTTGTTCAAGGGTTCAGCGTGGCATGGCAACCATCCATGGTTTCATAGTTTTGTTCGCCGGCGGCGCTGGTTGCGAAGACGTGTCAAGCAGAGACTGCCACCCAAGACCAAAGCAAACGCGAAGGAACGCATGTTTGGTGAGCAATTCAGCATCGGTACAACCATGGCTAGATCTACGACGCTTGGCACTGGTAGCGGTCTGTTGGACAGTTCTCAAACCAGTTTGGACGAAGAGATTAGAGACATTGCGACATTGATGAGGAAGCTGAAAGCTGCTGCAATCGACCGCGAGAAGATTGTTTACATACACAAGTTCATCAACGATGGGGGTGAGGAACTACACTACCTTGCAGAACAGGTACACACTCCCCACGTGCGTTTATTTGATTCGATCCCGCTAACATGTGTAGATTCCTGCAATTATGTCCATGCTTGTTTTTCAAAATTCACGCCGCCAACTTCTCTCGACGCTGATGGACCGTTTCGATACTGCAAAAGAACACCGCGAACAACACGAAAAAGACGGAAAGCCCGAGGGTGAAGCCGAGGAACGCCGAATCAACAACCTACTTAAAGCCGTCGAGGCAGCGGACAACGAGTGCAAGAAGTTGGAATATTGGAGTGATATCAAGAACCTGACCGAGGAGGGTAAAGCGGGTAATGCAACAGATCCAGGCATGGGCTGGGATGAGAAATGGCAGGGTCTTGACGTTAGTGGGGCCAGTTATCCTGAGAAATGAGAGATCACGGGCATGGATGGGAGTTCACCGGAGTTGTTGTATTTGCGGGGCGCTGGCGGAGTTGACATTCGGCGTTGGTCGGAACATTGGCAGCATTGGCAGCGTAGCAACAGCTTGAGCAGACGTAGAATGTTGTGGTAAGCATGCATATTATTACACTATACCTGACTAACTTGTGCCTTTACCTTTCTCACCCGAATCGGACCTCTGATTTCTTCCAAGCTCTCTGCAGCCACCACGTCTCCTTTTTGCATGACTTCAACTTCGCCAGATGCTCGTTTCTCCCACAATAGCTGTCGTATAATGCCCATGGTGTCTCTCCATGTTGTTGCGTTCAGCGTATCCAGCTCCGCGCCGGACAGTGCACGCGCGATCTCGGAAGGGCAGATCGTCTTTGGCCAAGCCCGAGTGCTGAGCAGACGATCGGCATGATTTAGGATGAGACTGCGCTGGTTGTAATTCAGAGACATCGGTCTGGTGTTTTCTGGAGCTTTTTGTGTAGCATGAGCGATGTTGATGGTCACAGACAGGGATATTGATGCTTTGCAGAAAGCACCCTGGGTCAAGCTGGGTCTTGAAATCTGGATGAGATCGGTTCGCTAGATCTCTCGTCCACCGATCTACAACAAGCTCCCCACCACCTTGGACCGATGTCCCAATCTGTCAACGTCAGAGCGTCCAATCGGCGCGCAACAAACAACAAAATAACCCGACAAATATTTTTTGTTTCGCGCATCTTCCCTCTCTGTGAACCGAGTCTGCCGGCACAATTACTAAAAGAATTGGCGATTTGTGGACTTGCTGTCTATCTTGGTTCTTGTCATGCCGCACCGGCTACCCCACGCCCTCCGAGAGCTAGTTGCCGCGGGGCAGCTTCTCTCTTCTCCGGCGCGTCTCTTATCAAGCTCACCTCTACCTTTAAATCCTTCGCCAGTCTCTGCACTACTTGGTCGGACTTCGTCGCGATTCTGCCACACCGGATCGTCTATCCCAAAACTACAAGCACCTACCGCTGCGCAGCCTCTCCAGACCAAACGACAGTATTCGTGGCCCAGGATGACTGGAACAGAGGATTCAAAGGAGGTTCGCAAGTACCTCCAGCAGAGCCATGACCGTATCTTTGAGAACAACAAGAAATGGGCCGAGGAGATGAAGAAGAAGAACCCTGCGTTCTTTGAAAATATGAGCGCGGGTCAAGCTCCCGAGTATCTTTGGATTGGTGAGTCAATCTTTGTATGAAAGTAACTGAAATCGTTCCGGAGAGTCGGCTGGGCGATCAACTGGCTATCCAATTAGTCTCGATATCCTGAATCGCCTTGCAAAATACTCAGTTGTAGACCAACTCAAATGAAGCAACCACTGACCGCGCTTCCTCCAGGCTGCTCCGACTCCCGTATCCCAGCCGAAGCCATCACCGGCCTCGAGCCCGGCGAGATGTTCATCCACCGCAACATAGCCAACCTCGTTTGCAACATCGATCTCAACGTCATGTCCGTCGTAAACTATGCCGTGCGCCACCTCAAAGTTAAGCACATTGTCGTCTGTGGCCACTACGGCTGTGGCGGTGTCAAAGCCGCCATGACCCCCAAAGATATGGGCCTCTTGAACCCCTGGCTACGAAACATCCGCGATGTATACCGTCTGCACCAAAAGGAGCTCGACGATGTCATTGCCAACGGTGGAACCGAGGATGACAAGTATAACAAACTTGTCGAGCTCAATGTGTATGAGCAGTGCAGGAACATTATCAAGACTGCTGCTGTACAACAATCTTGGGCTGAGAATGAGTTCCCCGTTGTGCATGGATGGGTGTTTGGGTTCCATGATGGAATGCTGAAGGATCTCAACTTTGATCATGAGGGTCAGCTTAAAGAGATTCAGAAGATTTACGACTTGACAAAGGACCTGTAGATGAAATGGCTGTTGTGCTTTGGGTAGGGTTTGGAGGGCCGTTGTTGTATAAGTAGATGTGGGTTTAGTAAGGAGTTAGTGGTGAGAGATGATCTAGAGTCAGATGTATACACGCCCGATTTAGGAGTCGCATGTTCAATCGATGAGTTTGTATCAATCTCCGAGCCTCTATTTTAGATAATGCTTTCTGCTGTTTTCTCGAACAAATCATGTGGAACGAGACACTGGTCCTTCTCAATAACTCAATCAGAAATGCTAGCAACATCATTTCAACCCTCCTCTACCACTAGTTACATGTGTTTCATCTGACAATCGGAAGATAGCCGACTAGAACATATCTCAATCGTCTTCTCCTCCTGAAAGGAATATTCGTCCGTATGCTAAATAGGTTTTCCCTCAGAATATATATGCGCACACATACACATGCGCACATACTCAGAACCGATCAAACAATCAAACCAAGACCCTCTATTGTGACCGATGAATACTGGAAACCTCTGTCGACTGATTCGATTCGATCCAACAAGCCAGCCAAATCAACCCAAGAAATCAACTTTTCCCAACAATGCTATTGACAATCCGTCCATCATACATTACACACCTCCCCTGTTCTCCCAGCTCGAACAACAAAACAGCGTTCTACTAAGAACAAGCCTGCAAAAGAGGCTTGTTTGTGATGGCGGTGCCCAGCGCCTCTGTATTTGTCGAAGCAGATATAATCAAGAATTTTGAATGTGAGTTCCTGAAGTGAAAACATTGAAGAGTACAAAGGCACCCGAACGGGATGAGGCTTGCGAAATTAGAATTTCTATTGTAGTAGACTTGACAACCATCACTTTCTCTATCTCCTTGTCCCTCCAGCACAATGCTGTGCCCCTTGTTTTTCCAGTGGTGTCGTGTTGACTGCTACCCAGTTATCCAAAATAGGGGAGATCCGGGTAGTTTTCTTTAGGATTCGGAGTAATCAAGTAAGAAAAGAGAGTTTCAAGAAAGCTTCTTCTGTGCTGAAGCTTACAAAACTATCTTACTCTGGCGTTGGCTGTACAAATGCGAAACTGCTTCTATGATAAATAAAGATAGGTTTGAATTCGGTATGTTTTATTATTAGCGAGGAGGAGGTGAAAGGATTACAGGCGTTCTTGATGTAGGGGAAAGGGGCCTTCGGGAAGTTGTTACACGAAAGAGTCTCTCTCGCAGGGTTGGTAATGTGCTATGACTCACATAAGCTTACCTTGAATGTGCGGCTATAGAGAGATGGTCATTTGGATACAGTGGATAGTACCGGTATGACAGGTGGTTTTGCACACAGTCAGATTGATTTCGTATGTATAGCACAGAAAACATGACTGTGTCGCGGTATATATGTTCAAGGTATTCACCGCAACTTAAGGTTTACTATTTGCTCCGACAAGTATATACAGGAAAAAAAAGTGTTTCAAGCAAAGTTTTGTTTCGCTTATGTTGTTCATTAATGTAGAAGATGTGAGAATGCATAACGATACTTTCCGTGATGTTGGGTTTCAGAATATACAAGAGCTCAGGCTTACTGTTTCGTAATACGATTTTTCTTACGTGCGTTCATGGGAGCTAGATGAAGCTTTGAACGAGAGATAGGTAAGAAAATATGAATAGGAGACATAGATGCACAAAAGAGATTGCACAATACATCATGCAGCGGAATGTCAGTATTAGTATCTGAAACTGAAGATCAACTGCACATTACTAAAATGGATAAAGTTTTCGCTGTTATCTCCAGCTCCAAACAGTCGGTGAGCTGCAGTCTAGTTCCTAAAATACGGACATACTGTAGCAGTACCGATTCATGCGTGCAGAGCACATGCAACGATTCAGTGAAGAAGATCTTGTCCTTGAATGACAATAGCAGTGTGTGCAAGAGACGTGTTTTCAAGATTCAGTGAACACATTAATGATACCCATGAAGTTGACTAATAATCATATAGTGACGTGTTCCCGCAGATCAAAGGCGCCACCTATGTAGGTGTACATGTACATGGCGAAATACCTACGTTGACGTACAATTTATGTCACTGTACTAGCGACATCTTCCAGAATCGCAAGGAACCTGCCTTTCTTTGTTCGCCTATGCGGGTGATACAAGAGATCATCTGCGGGGTTAGAAAGATTTACATTCATAGCTTTAAGCCATCTTGCCCTGCATGGTGACAAACGCGATCCGCGGGGCAAAAAGATTTACAAATCTCTCCACAAGCAACAAGCCATTTTGCCCTGCATGATGACAGTGTAGACAGGTCCGCGGCAAAAGCAAAAAAAGATCTCAAGCCCGACGTGGGGGTCGAACCCACAACCTTGAGATAACCAATCGAGTCTGATCAGGACGTGAAAGCTAAGAGTCTCACGCTCTACCGATTGAGCTAGCCGGGCGTTGTTTGCTTACTAATGAATTTTTTTGAATTTGGTCGATATATGATGTTACGCACGAAAGGCTTGAAGCTTCCGGACAGCGTGTTGACACGGTTCCTGCAAATGTAAGGGTTTGTTGGTTCGCTGCAAGTCCGCTGCTAGTCCGCTGCCAAAAGCATACTAGCGCCCGTCACACGCGAACCATGGATGACGCTGACAGTTTCTGAAACATTCTTTTTAGCGTTAGCGTTCAGTCCCCAAGTGGTGTGCCAACCCGAGAAACAACCTTAGGCCTGTGTTTGCTTTTTTACCCAAGGGCCAAGATCGCTTGGTACTTAGTGATCGCGCGTGTGGTATTCGCGGTTCAACGAGACGGTTATGGTACGCGGCGTCTGCCAACCGTGTCTGGACGTAAGCCATCGCGATTGGCAGCCCGATGCTCCGCGATCTAGGTCCGTTCGCGAGTCATGTTATTTCTCTGCCCCTTAAACGGTGTCCGCCCAAAATATCCAAGACTTTGGCATAGAAATTTCACCGGTAACGAAAGGGCCGAGTTCTAGCACTGAGCATCCAGATCAGTGCGGAGAGTGATTTGGTGTGATGGTAGCGATGCTCCAGATTGGATTTCAGGTTTATGATGCAAAAAGGTCCCAAAGATGCGCGATACTTACATACAGAGACGTTCGTGTTCGGAATCGTATACAGTTCATTGGTAAAGTCATTTCATGTCAGCTTAGCAGATGGGCAACTCTTCGCCAAATATGGTCAGTAGAACAAGCCGAACCGTCATCATCAGTCCCAGAGGGTCTTCGTATGGCGCACTCTGTATCAAGTCCGACCATAACAAGGTTGCCCTCAGTATTTTCGCATTTCCGCGGAGGCGGTATGACATTAGCCCATGGAAAATTACCGACAGCCAATGTTGCTGATGGCCGGATGTGATTCAGCAGAAGCCGGCAGCAATCAATTGTCCCGTCCCAGGCATCCTAGACATCACGCTGAACACGGCATACAATAAAGTTCCTAGTGGGCAGGGATCAGTGGAAGGTAACTGAATACGGAGGTGCTCTTGCATCAATATGACATCCGGCGTGGTCAGCATGTATCTTTTCAAAAGATTACCGGCCTGAATCATCGCCAACAAAAGCCGGGCCACCCGAAGAACCATGTAGTTGTCTCCAGTTTAAGTATATCAACAGAACCATCACTGTTTCGGAAGACAGCGAACTAGTTATCTGTTCAGTCTGATTCCGGGAGTTGGAGCATCCCCCATACCCACTTTCTTCGGAGACAACAATGTCATGGTAGGTAGCAGTAGCATCGGATACGATGCTTACAAGCTCAGCGAATGTTACCACATACGTCAATAGCTCCACAAGCCGGTGCGTTGGTTTACCTAAGATCAACACTCTACTTGGTCTATGCTGCTGTATCCTTGATCCGCTTGTTAGCTCAAATCTTCTGAACGAGGGCATGTGAAGGCTGAATATCGTACCAGATACACTTGATAGAAGCACATCATCACTTTGCCGTCTTCTTCTTTAACGAGGTGCGCCCTTGCAGCCCAGTCTTTACTTGACTCTCCCCCTGCCTTAAGGCCGTATTTTACCGTTCCATACAACATGACTTCGTTAGCGTTTGAACCAAACGGAAATATCTTCAGTGGTGCGTGCGCCCTGCTGGAGACCGTTTCCCACATGGCTTTGCGCAAGGCTAGGATCTCTGTAGCCAAGAGTCAGCCCATCGGGACGAATCAACCGTTGCAGTTCCAGCACCAGGGAGTCAGAGTAAAGGACGATGGCAAGTATGGAGTGGGGGCTAGACGAAAAAAGCAATGTGCGACAAACCATCTCGGCCCACTGCTATTTTGGAAGCCATGACTAGTGTTGCATCCTTGGTGAAGTATTTGACGTAGTCTTCGTGCGCCTCTGGAGTGTCGGATGTGGCGTAAAAGGTGCGGAAAAACTCCTTGTATGAAGGATCAATCGCAATAGCCGGCGGGTACTGTGAGGCGTAGGCGTTCATTTCGTGTTGTAATTGCTGGAAAAAAACCAAGGGTGAATGGAGGCTACAGTTGTTGTACCTCAAACGCCGAGCAAAGCCTCTTTCATCTAAGGTGGGGCTGACGTAATTACTCAATTCTTAGAACGCCTTACGGCGGCTCACCTGACGGGCCGGCGGGAACGGCGTTTTCTAAGCGACGTTCAACTCGACCTCATAAACATATTAATCCTGCTCAGTTTCACCAAAAACGCTGCGGTCCTGCCAAGTGTTGGTTCTCTATTATTTTCCTTTTGGTAGGAAAGTGTGGAGGGCCAGAATATAATCAGAGTTAAACGTCTCCACAGAAAGGGACATCACTGTAGCGGCGCCGACATTAGGACACAACGCTACAGTAGCGTCAACCATAAAAACAAAGAAGGGACCGCCGATTTTGGGGCGCGCATCTGCGATCTGGAAGTACCTTTGTAGTCGCTCTACTTGACAGCCACGGCCTAATGCGCTTTGCCACCGAACATTGTCGGTTCGGTCGAGCTCGGTGTTTCTCGACCCAAGAAGTACTCTCCGAAGTACCTGCGCAAGGGTAATCAGGTCCTGTAGTGCAATACGGAACCCACGTGTCATCATAGCACACCGTGCGTGTATCACAGGAATCCCATGCGCTCTCGGATCATGGGAGAAAAATATTTTCCAGCGCTATTCTCCATCAGCAATAACTTGCAGGGGCTCTCTTGCCTAGGAATCACACCTTCAATTTCGATCGCGATTCACGCTAGGCATAGCAATTACAAACTTCTTGTTCACCCTCATCAACACTGGACGGCGGCGTAGTCTCGAACCCCTACTTTTTCCTTGGTTCAGGTCGTAATGGTTTACTTGTGGCTCCCGCAGGCATGCAGGTCCATGTGGCTGTGTTCCAGGCCCACACATATGGCTATGCCATGAACTGCGCTCTCAGGTCCCAGAAATCGGGACATGACCTTCTCCGTCAGCTACCCCTGGTCAGGACTTCTCCGTCAACTGGGCTTATCCCTAGGCCCCTGTCGATCTGTCAGAATCATTGTGCATGTTTCATGTCTTATTAGACTGCCGTATGCATGTAAGTATTGAAGGGCCCTGCAGGAATGGTGCCCAGGCTCCCGAGAACTCTTGTCTTACATGTTGAGAAAGCATACGGCTTGCAACTGCACGTCCCAAGACGACTTGACGTGATGCGTTCCTGTTAGGTTGATGTGTACACAATCGTTTACGCAATGATGATAGTGTGGCTCAATGATTGACTTAGTACGATCCAACTAGCTTGGCCGCCGTCGTTCGAACAGGTTCAGGTTTCGACACAAGAATTTTGCCCCAGGCTAAGATTCGACGGGAGCTAACTAGTCTGGGTCACTATTAAGCAACGTGGGTACTTCTTTGGTCCAGGCTCAGCCGTGAACGTCAGAGTAGACTTCATCTGTGGCGCACAAGCCAGCCAATTCTAGAGTATGGGCGAAGCAGTCCGTCTCGATCGACACTGGGGTGCTCGCACTTCGTGAGATGTGGGCCATTAGCACGCTTTGGTGATTCCAGATGCTAATGGCGCTATGAGGGCATCCGAGTACCCGCCCGAGAGTGCGAAAAGTACAAGATCTGGAGTATGGCCCCCGCTGACAATGGGGTTCATCATCTTCACCACCGCCCAGGTATAACTACGCTCAAGGCTTAATATCCTTCAGTAAATTCTACCCTACTCATCACAATGGTGTCTCCTTTCGACACTTCGTCTCGGAGACCGGATTACTTCCCTGGACAAGTCCGGCGGTCCAGTGAGATCATGCCTTCCCAATCCCAGGATGTTGCGGTTCCTGCTCATCTCCTCCGTGCCACTGGCAATCTTGGATCCAAGCGGGACAACACTGCCACCCACACTGCTACATGGGAGCCTATACAGGAGAACCCTTTCCTCGACGCAGGGGTAGGAAGTATTCGGCGAAATGACACTCAACGCTCCGCTATCCGACAAAACAGCAGTCAACGATCAGCTGTCCGACAAAACAGCAACCAACGCTCGAGGGGTTTACACCGGAATGGTACTCAAGATTCTACCGATGCCGGACCGACACGAAGCGAAAGCGAACGAAGAAGAAGTGTTCGGTTCTCTACAGTTAATCCTTTCGACAACAATAGAAGAAGCTCACGATATGCACTACCCTCACCTGACGAAGAAAGCACAAGGGCCCAGCGAACCCTCTCTTATGTGCCTGGCACAAGCGATGTCCTGACTACCACTCCTCGGGAAAGCCGAGCGCCATCGCCCAACTTTGAGAGGAGAGCTAGCATATCATCGACCTATTCCAACGAGAACCCCTTTGCTTCCAAGCCAAGCTCGATCAAGAGTGATCCTTTCGCAACAGAAAACAACACGCCTCGCGGATCATTTGATGGGCCACCTCAGCAACCTCAACCTGTACACCATGCTAAGCACAAGCGGAAGAACACTCTGCAGTCAGTGGTTGATGGTATCATTCCTGGTTCTTTGCAACGTCGTATGACTAACGCGTCTTACTTCCAACGGAGTGAGTTGTTCGGCACCTACGAGAAGGCCAAGAAGAAAGGCATCGAGATTCAGCGCAAGCCATGGGCACAGAACACTTTCGAGTACAGCTTGTACCTCGTCATGATTCTCTTCATCTACTTTGTGCTTATTGGTATGCCGCTTTGGAGGGGTGCAGTCTGGTGGATGTACTGGGTTGTCCAGACCAAGTTTGTCCTTCCTGGTGGATTCGGTATCACTCTTGGCATTGCGCTATTGTAAGTTGGTCCTTGGGGACAATTTTTTGGGGGCTTTTACTAATCCCTCTACAGCTACGCCTTCGCTCCTCTTCTTATCCTCTTCGAGAAGGACCCTCCGCCTGCCGACTTCACTACAGAAACCAAGTACAAATCCACTGTTGATGACACTTGCCTCATGATCCCTTGCTACAAGTCTGCCGGACTCATTGCCAACACTCTAGAGGCTGCCTTGAAGATCTTCCCTGCGTCTCACATCTTCGTCATTGCCAATGGAAACAGCCCCACGCCACTCGACAACACGGAAGAGGTCTGCCGCCCTTACGGAGTCAACCACATCTGGTCGCCTATTGGATCAAAGATTGTTGCCCAGTTTGTTGGCTGCTACGCCGCAAAGGGGTTCAAGAACGTCTTGCTCATCGATGATGACTGTGCCCTTCCCGATAACTTCCCCATCGTCACTGACCGCATGACTGACAAAGTCAAGTGCATTGGTTACACCATCAAATCCGTCGGACCTAACGGCTCCAAGGGAAACCTTTGCCAACAAGCCCAGGATCTTGAGTACAAGCTTAGCGGTATCCAGCGTGAATTTGCCGGCAAGGTCGGTTCTGCTACTTTCCCCCACGGCGCCATCTCCCTCTGGGACCGTGAACTCCTCATCAAGACTTTCCACGAGCACCCCGGTTTTAGTGTATCAGAGGACTGGTTCTTCGGTCACGTCGCCCGCCAGCTTGGTTCTCGTATCAAGATGTGCTCGCAAGTCTTCGTCGAGACCGAGACCCCCACTGCTGTCTTCTTCGCTGGCGGCGGCTCTCGCGGTGGCTTTGGTGAAATGACCATCTTCTCTCAACGTTTCAAGCGCTGGAACTTCTTCTTCGTCAACGGAATGTACTACAACATGGCCTACATCCTCTGCGACTGGAAGCTCGGCTGGTGGGAGATTGGTGCTAAGATCTTTGTCTTCCAAGAGGTAAGTACAAACACACACACCTTTGCTACATCACACCCCTTCACATATACTAACATATACACCTCCAGGTCTACGAAACTCTCCTTTACCTGCTGACCCCCTTCATCCTACCCATCTCCTTCTACGTCCGCCCGGACTTCTGCGGTTACCTCCTCGTCGCCACAATCGTCATGTACGCCATCAACGTCATCATCTTCAACGAAGTCCATCTCCGCCGCAAGAACGAGCGCGTCGGCTGGGTTCTCCTCTACGTCTACTACCTGCCCTACAAGATCGTCCTCACCTTCGTCAACGTCGCAAGCTGCTACTGGTCACTCTACAAGTACGCTCGCTACTTCGCCAAGCGTCACCCCAAGGTCATCGAGGACGAAAAGGCTGTCGAGGTCGTCATTCGCCTTGAAGAGGACCAGGCCTCTAAGCAGGGCGGTCTGGGCCGTCGCCTTACGGTGCGCACGGTTGCTGGTCGCCCCAGTGTCGAGGAGCAGGATGATGACTTGGATACCGCGAGGAACTCGTACGATCATGTTGCTGCGCCTGAACTCGTCATGTCGCATGGCTCACGTGAGGACTCGAGGCCTACTAGCCGTATGCTGAAGACTGAGGGTGTCGCGGCAAGGGATTACTTTGCGGAGAAGAATGCGGCTCAGGGACGACCGCTGCAGGATGTTTGATCATCCTCTCTTTTTTTTCTACATGACTTCTTCTTCTTCTTCTTCCTTCATCCTTCTTCTTCTTCTTCCTTCATCCTTCTTCTTCTTCCTTCATCCTTCTTCTTCTTCTTCCTTCATCCTTCTTCTTCTTCTTTTTCTTCTTCTTCTTCTTCTTCTTCTTCTTCTTCTTCAAACATACCTTTGATACCTTTCTTCATTACGCTTCTTCGCACATACTTTCTACACACACTTTGCTACCAAAATTTTCTACACACTTCTTAACTTTTTTTTCCTATGTAAGATATAGACAGGAGTTTATGCTGGTTACAGAAAAGAAGAATGCTTCTGGGAAGGACACTTTGCTATATACCTATTTTTTAACTGTGTAATCAGTATTATGAACATGAAAAAAATTGCACTCTTTATCTACATGCTCTTGTTTCTTGATTGATTGATTGATTGGTACTCTATACATTGTCCATCGTGTCTCTTGGATCGTCCACTGCTCTCGCTTTACCTCCTCTTCCACCGCCACCCCGACCACCTCGGCCACCTCTTCCGCCACCCCCTCTACCTTTCTGCCCTTGCCCAACTTCCTTCTGCCACTCTTCAACATCAACAGTGACGCCATCAGGCAACTCCCCATCACTCATCAACACGCCACCATCCTTCTTCCTGCTCTCCACGTGCTTGAAGAAAGTATACGGCAAAACCCCCTGCTCATTCCCCTCCGTCAAAATAACCCCATTCTCCGAGATGAAAAACTTGATACCAGCAGCAAGCGCAGCACCGATATCAACGTAGACCAGAATCGTCGAACTCTTGCGCATACCAGATATGACGGGCGCAGCGTCCGCAGATGCAGATGTGGAGTCGAGGGATTTGAAGCCAGCGGGTAGTCCAGAGGCAAAGTGGATGTGGTTTCTCCCCATGGGACGCAGACCGCCGCTCTTGAGGATCAGGTTCCAGGCGCGCTCATCAGTGCCATGGACAACGACGTCTGGGACGTTTCCGGCTTCAGTGGAGATGGGGACGAGGAGGCCTTCGTTGTCGACTTTGATGGAGTGACCTTGGTTTGCGCGGATGAGGTAGTCTGCTGGATCGTCTGATTCTTGTGTGCTTTGAAGTTGTTCGGATGTAGGCGCTTCAGACGATTCTTTGTCGAGTGACAATGCTGGGATCATGGAGAAGCGCTGTTTCTCGTTGTTTGCGACTGCGTCGCGGACTTCTGCAAAAGTGACTTTGAGGCTCTGGAGGGCCTTGGTGTTGAGCTGTGAACTGTTATTCCGCTGCCTTCTAAAAAGCCAATAAAAACTGATCCATCCGACCAAGATTCTCAACAAGGCGTTTTCCCAGTTCAGGCTTTTTTTTTGTTCTCGGTGATTTTGTTTATGTACACTGCGATTGCAAACTTACCGCATCTTGAACATTGACATAGCCGCCCTGTCCCAATTTCAGTCCCTCCTTGTCAGCCCCATGTCTGAGTAACCAGCTTATCTTCTTCGAAACCTGCACTTCTCTTGGCTGATTGGCTGGATTGCGACTGCCGCCGCCACGACCACCTCTGGCCATGTTCGTGATAGTCCTGCTGAAGATGCGGGAAATATTTGCGGGGCGAATTTTGACGAATGCGGGGAAAAGCCGACAAGATATATGCAGGATTATGTTAGGCAACACTCTGAGTCGAGATGAGTGATGTATGGTGAGTCAAACACGATAGTTTCGCAAGGGCGAATGAGTAGTGAGAAGTATGGGTGTTTGAGGGAAAAAGGTTAGCGTGAGATTTGTGCGCAGCGGCCCCGCAATCGTTGGTCGCACTCGCAGAGACTCTACTTTCGTCACTGTGAGACCATCTCACGTATGACATTCTTGTCTATGAGCTACTGAAGCTAATATGAGGTCTCTTAAACAAGCAAATTCGCAGGATTGCATCCTTCCCACTTGAAGTCCAATTCCCTACCAGTCTATCTGGTAAACTACCTGCATTCCAAAACACATCTACGTACCGTATGGAGTCGATAGACAAGTGGTTTATAAGACCCAGAACCATCGATCAAAGCACTCAATCTCCATGGCCTAGATATGATGCTATTAGTCAAGCATGATCGCTCATATTCAGAGAGAAGATGAAGCACTGGTGATCTTCGAGGCATGTTGCGTAGCACAAGTATCAGAGGCATTCCCACTGTTGTATACCCTTGCATCTGCAGTGTTCCATAGCGCCGGGATATCTCTAGCGCAATCTCTCATAATCAAGCAGCTAGTCTCCAATGCATTGCGAAACGGTATTATTGACAAGCAAAAAGAGTACTAAGCTTCTCCTCATTCAACGCCTAGTAGGGGTAAGAAAGAGAAAGAAAAAAAATATTGTCATAAATCTGCGATCAACACTCTGACAATCTATATCTCCAGTGTTTCCGCCCATTAATATGTAATTGAAGCCCATTGCCCAAAAAGCATATCAGCACGCACAACCCTCCTTGGGGCCCTGTGGCTGCGCACTGCCCAGGTTTACCCGGTCAGCATCTTGTCTAGCCAGGTTCGTTTGGCCGCCTACATGGCGTGGCCCCTTCAAGCTCGCCTCTGGAATTGCGTTTGCGATAGCAGTGAACACCTCAGCAACGTTGTGCCCAGTCTTTGCACTCGTCTCGAAGAATAATAAGCTTTCTTCGTCTGCATATGCCTTTGCAGTCTTGCTAGGCACTCTCCTGGAGTCTTGGTCGTCTTGTGCCTGCTCTTCCTCTCCCTCGGCTGCAGGCGCAGCATCTGCATCCTCTGGCCTGTCCTCGTCACCAGCAGTGGCAAGATCGAATTTGTTTCCTACGAGCGCAATAACAATGCCGGGCGACGCTTGACGATGCAATTCGGCAACCCAGTGTTGAGCTTTTGTGAGAGATGAGGGCTTGGTGATATCGTACACGACGAGGGCGGCTTGCGCATTGCGATAGTACATGGGTGCGAGCGAGGCAAAACGTTCCTGGCCTGCAGTATCCCAGATCTCGAACTTGATGGTACGGCTCGGTAGGTTACATTTCTGCGTGAGGAAAGCAGCTGGCGAGAGTTATGTTAGCTCCAAGGCGCCGCTTGTCAATAGCATGAGTGGGGTGGCTGTGTTCGTACCTCCGATAGTTGGCTCTTTGTTTTCTTGGAAGTCATTGTTCACGAAGCGCATAACAAGGGAAGACTAGCACCGGAGTCAGTTCATGTTCGAAACTGACGTATTGAGATCGCGCACCTTTCCTACAGCCGCCTCTCCTAGCAGCACGAGCTTGACGCTGCTGCTTGGCTTAGGTTGCGCGGATGCGTCCGCCATCGTCGATGCGTGAGATGGTGCGATTTGGAACTTGTGAGGTGTGTACAGGTGCGACGGATCGTTTGGAGATGTAGCCCAATGTTCCAGTATCGTGTGCGATGTGGGGGTGCAGTTTGAGTCCAGGCAACGATGTTGCTGGCGGACGGTTTGAGGTTGCCGAGCATAATGACGAACGTCAAGCACGTGAGTTGCTGACTAAGACTGGTATCGTTTCCGATGCTCTTGTACAACGTACACCAATGTCCTTTCAGACGCATTGGTTACACAAACTACTTTTATTATCCACAGTGACGTACGTAAGAGAGCTATTTCATGATATGCTCTGGTTTATTTTGCATAACAGAGGCTTAATGTAAGACCACAGAGAAGTTAGAGTATTCTCTTGTACTACATGCTTGTCAGAAGTTATCCCACAACCAGCTGTTATCGATAGGGCACAAACCCACAATCAACCATTTGTTCGTAGAGAGTAAAATTGATGTTTGAGGAACTGGCTGAACAAATCTTAATACAGTCAGACAATGTTAAATGACCAGCCCAGTCTGCCGCGCAAGCTGCGTCAGCATCGGAAGCTCCTGTCTCTCCCTTGACGGTTTAGGCAAGCCTCTACAAAATCACTCAATTGCACAACCAGTGAAAAATAGCGAAGATGATTTGGACAGAAGAGATGGGTAGAGAGTACACCAATGACTTTGGGGCCATGCAGCACTGTGGAAATCCTGTTTCTTGTTTGTACTTTTTACACCAAGATGCACCGGACCAGTATTTCGAGATTGAGTAGTGCGGTTACTACTAGTACTAACATTGCTCATTCCCGCGATCTGATGCACTTATGCAAAAAGACAGACCGCAACTCTGTCGGTCCTAGCATGAGGCGTCGTTGGCGACAACGCATACCGATCTTCAAAAAAAACAGTCGCAGCCAACACCTCAAGTGGGGACATTTGGGCAACTATGCGCTTGGTGCTCAACAACATTTTTTTCTTCTTTTCGAAGGGCCGACTCTTCGATTGTGGAAGGAGTGAAACTGGATTGTTGTTGTTTGTGGGAACAAGGAAGAGGAGAAGCGGTTGGTGGTGATTGTTCATCGCTTAGTCACGGGCTACCAGCATCTTCTGGCTCTACAACGGGCCGAAGCAGCCCACGTCATGGAAAAAACCACGAAATGCAACATGTGCATCGGGCGATGCTGCAGGATGAAATTATTTTGTACAACCATGGCGAATGACGTCACGCCGGTAGTATGAAACCGTACGTGGTTTGGTGTGCCGAGAGTGGCCATGGCCAAAGTGGGCTTCGCAGGGGATGGGTTTGGACGAGTGTCTGAGTCAGCGGGCGCACGTGCAAGCGAGTTGAGTGCTGATTGAGGCCCCTGAAGCGTCACCCATCGGGCTGTAACAAAATGTTTGGCAGGACACGGAGAAACATTGCGACCAGCGAAGAGGGAGAGGGAGGGCAGTTGTACTAGACTTGTCGCAGTGCCAATGGCAGGCGTGCGGGCGGCAATGTGGCGTCTTTGACCCCTCAAGTACCCAATGCCACGGGACTCCCGAACCGGCAGGCGCAATTGAATGCTCTCCTGCATCTGCATCTATCTGCATCTGCATATCCTACACCTACATGGAATGAAGACACCACACCGGAAGGACCTGGATGGCGACTCCAGAGCGCAGTGCACCCCACCGCCATGCTGCCCACCGGCTCCTCAACCAAGGGCTGCCATTGGATGTAGCGTAGCACGCCCACATGAACATGGGAGGGACTACGTGTGTAAACCAGGCACCGCGGTGACCGGAGCGAAGACAATGGCTTGGCAGGTGTATGGGGAGAAGAGAAGAGAGAGAGAGAGTGTGTGTGTGTGTGTGTGTGTGTGTGTTTGTATGTATGGGTGTATGAGTGTATGTGGTGGTAAGTGAGCATGTAAGTATGCAGGCAATTGCGTAGGCAGATGAGTAAGAAGGATTGCGTGCATGTGTATGTGTGTATGTATGCAGTGCCCCAAGGGCAGAGTGTCGAGATGGTGATGGGGTCCAGAAGGGCACCATAGGGCGGCCGTCATGTGGCGGTGATTGTGTGGTGCAGATGCGGCATGGCCCAACAGGCAGAGGCTCCACCGCAGCGAATGGCAGGACGGGGCGGTGGCTCGCGCGATAATATCAGCACAGACGCCAGGCGTGCGACCGATCGCGATGACGCCAAGCGCCGGTCTCGCGTTCCGAGGGGGGTGTCGGGCTGGTCAGGCTGGCCAGGCTGACCACGACTGTGTTGCGACGGGCACTTCCAGACGGCGACAACCATGGCTGCTGGACGGGCACAGAGGATGCAGATGGCGCAAACGCCTGTTGGCAGACGGCCATGTCGGCGCTGAGGGCACCACGTCCAGACACAGCAGCGATCGGCTACGTCTTCACCCATGGCCCTCTCCAGACAAGCGCTCGGTTCCCCGTGTCCTTGATCCGCCCGAGCCGGCGTGGACCAAGCGCGGCCATGGCAAAGTGCGTCTCCCCTCCCCTCCCCTCTGCGATTAGGTCCAATATGCGCCTGGCGATCGGCGTTGTCCACTCCAGGCCTAGCCAGCCTGACGTGAATCCATGCTCGAATCACCCAAGCGGGGATGCACTCTAGAAGGCGCACTAGCTATGGTCCCCTTTGACAAACCCGCCCTTGGGCCAGGAACACGCACAAAAAAAGTTTCCTTCCTCTGGTACTGCCTGGCGAGCGAGCAGCGCACCACAGCGCACCACAGCATCCGGCACCCACGCTGCCCTGGGCCCAAGGACCGCCCCTAGACGCGTGTGTGCCCGCTGAAACACGCAATCAGTGCGCGCGGGGAAATGCCGCATCCCAGATCCCCCCAGGGCCTTTGCAGCCTTTACTTGATCCAAAGCGGTGCAGTCCAAAGGGCCAAAGGGCCAAAGGGGGCTTGCCTGCTCGCTTCCAGCCACTGCATGGGCGGGAACTTGGGAGGACGCCTTCGCCGGGGCCTACCTACTTATCAGTCACGTTGGTCGGCTTGTGGGATGGGAGCGTCCGGCTGACCCCAGATGCCGCGTGCCATGTTTGCGACCAAATAATAAAAAAGTTGCTGCGTCTGGAATTGCTGTGACAGTCTGACATCCCTTATTTTGCCCCCCTCCCTCTCCATGTACTAATTACCACACCCCCCCTTGCCCCGGCCCTCCTCGTCGTGCGAAGCAGCAGTGCGTTGTTATTCACCAGTCCCGGCCACTTTTCCCAGGCTGTGCAATCGAGACTCCCCGTCGGACACAGTAGTAACTCCATATCAGGAGCTCGGGCGTCACCCCACTTGTCGAATAGCATTCCGCGAACTGTCCACACGCCGTATTTTTGGATAAACGCCTCCTTCACCTAGCACACGCCTCCCGCACACACATTCTTGTTAATAAATATTCCCACACACTGGCTCCCTGCCCTGCCCTGCATTGTCTCAACAAGCCCGTTTCAGCCGCATCGCCCATTGTAGCCCCGACACTTCGGACACGGTGCGACAATTGCTCGGCCCTGCTGACGAAGCCGGACGAACAAAGCAAACACCAAAACTACTGGCAACTTTTTTTGGGGGGGACCCATCATGACTGTACACAAGGTACCTCTACTACCTCCTGCTGCCATTGCTCCCCTCGGACTCGCACTGACCGGCTGCCCCCTATCCAGGAACCCATCAACGTCCGACCCGCCAGCCAACAACGGCACTCATCCAGCACCATGGCCGGCTCGCTCCCCAAGAACCGAACTCACTCGCAATCCATATCCGCCGCCAACCTCCACCCGGCACATCGCGTAACGCGCAGGAAAAGCATGAGCCAGACGCCCGTCACAAACATCGCTGCCATCGCTGCGGCGGCCAAGGGCATGTCCGGGGCTCCGCTCGAGGGCGCCAGTAGTAGCGGCAGCAGCAGCGGACCGCGCCGCTCCTCCAAACCCGCATCGCAGTTTAGGGGGCCCAGCATGGCAATGGCCTCGACCATGGCCTCGAGTGTGCCTGCTCATGGTGCGCAGTTCGGTGCCAGCAGTTACGGCAGTGCTGCCAAGAGTGAGGCTCTCACTGACGGGCCCACACTCGCAACCATGTTGGAGCAGGACAAGGCAAATGCAAAGTCGCGGAACCGCCGCGCGAGCGAGGGCTCTCGCCTGTCCAAGGGCGACGGCAAGCGAAGTGGTAGCGAACTGAGATGTGAAAAATGCGGCAAAGGCTATAAGCACAGCAGCTGTCTGACCAAGCACCTGTTAGTAACCCTTAGCCTCCCATGGCCCTGCCACATACTTTCATGCCTCATGACGAATGCCCTTTCTTCACTCGCATGTCCATATAAACTGCCTTGCTCTTCTCAAGTTCTGCGTTGACTTTTTTGATTCTAGATGGGAGCATACACCGGAATGGCAGTACACTTCTAAGCTGCTCATCTCCAAGCATCAGCAGGTGCAACTGCTCGAGGCCGCCTCGGTCCTCGTTGCCATGAACAAGGAGAGCGACGGCGAACACAGCGACCGCTCCTCTCCTCCTGCCTCGGGCTCATCCGACGTGCGTGAGGACTTGAGCTCCACAGAAACTACCCCGCCCCCACAGCTCGACGACCACGCCGTAGGCTCTTATCCTCACTCGCACTTTGGCACTCGCTCCATGAAGCGTTACTCTACCAACAGCTCTGCCTACAGCCAATCTTACCAGTCAACTGTCTTCTCCGACAACGGTAATGGTAACGCGCACGGTCACTTCCGACAGTGGAGCAATGTCTCTGACCGCCCCACTACTTCAGGCACCTCGGTAGCTGGCTCCTACCATGATGATGCTAATGACCACGCCGACCTCGCTGCTGCAGTCGGCCTGCTCAGCTGCTCCTACGGCACTCCGAAGACGGGGCCCGTCGCCCTACCCGCAGATGCGCCACCCGTGCCCCCGCTCCCAGCAAAGTATTTTGACCTGAATACCCGCACACTGTCTGGTAGCACTACCGTCACGGCCCAGCAGTCGAGTATGCGCAACAGCTATCGCCACCCTAGTGAGAGCAAAGACGTCGACATGGACGACGACCACTTTGCCGATGAAGAGGACTACCGTTACTCCAACGCGCGCAGTCGCAGCCGCATTGACGAGGACGACGATGAAATCTTCGGAAGGATGGAAGAGTAGTAGTTGTGCCCACACACACACGCGCCCTACCTGCCCTTCACCGCACCCCGGCCTCATTTCATCCGACATTCCCGTCCGTGCGCTGCATCCTTATCTTTCTTCTGTACCACAAACGAAACTCTTAGTTATTTAGCGACCTATCTCCGCATAATAAACAGACGCAGCCTGGACACCGATGAGAGGGCCCTCAACCAAACCACAGCCGCCAATGACACGAGGTTGTCGATGCCCTTGAGGTTGAAGTACAGGTTTTGAATAATACTGAACTGGCGTCTGTTTTATCATCTGCGTCGAGAGCCTAGCAACATCTCAAATATCTAGTACCCATATCAGCGTGAGGATTTACCTCATTCGTTTTTTGCTCGTGTTTTTCTTTATTTTTTCTTTCTTGCTTTCGGCTTGTCTTCAAACAAGAAACATATAAAACCTGGCACACGCTTTTTGTTTTTCTTTGAACGGGGAGGTAGAACGGAGGTTGGAGGTGCGCTGGCTAGCGTGGCCTTTTGTATATTCGGACGGGAAAGGAAGAGGAGACGGAGAGAGAAAGAAGAGCGACATGCATCGTATAAACAGCAAAGCACAACGTGGGGGGTCAACGGGTGTGTAGAGTGGAAGCAGGAATGAATGCACAATATGTTGAAAAAAGAGAAAAAACGACTTGAGCATGCGTGTGAGAAAGTGATGGAGAGACGAGTGCAAGGCTGAGAGAAAGAAGACCAAACGGGTTGAGAAAGGGGAAAGAAGTTCGGGCCCTTTTGAACAATTCTCACATCGCTCAAACTCGCCGAAAATGCGAAAACGAGGCAGAGCGGCGGTGCCTTACCTTTCCTAATCCAGGAAGACGACCAAACCCACTAGGGTTATTGCTCCCTTGGCGTCATCTCCAGCAGGTAGGGCAGGGTAGGGAAGGGTATGCTATGTTGCAAATATGATTCTCACTTACCTATCTACTCACCATCTAATCCGCATCCTCAGAAACGAATATCAGAAAAAGCAAAAAAAAAAGTGAAGCAAATAGCTAAACCCACCCACGAAAGGGAAGGACACGAACCCTTTTATATCCCCCCCCCTCCCTAAACCACCAACCCCACCACCACACTTACCCTCCTCCCTCTTTCAGCCAAAGAAAAAAGATTTTAAATTAGGGGAAAGGGAGTGGGACACGAAAATCCATAAGAAAAAAACCCCCCCGCCCGCGACGGGAAAATCTCCCCCCAAATTGGGGGACCCTTCCCCCATATGTACCATAGAGCGGTTGTGATGGGGGGGGGGTGGTTACGCGTCCATACATGTGTATTTTTCTCTTCACACACACACATGATACATAGCTTCCTTTTCCTTGCTAAGAAATACGGGAAAAAATAGATTGGCGAAACGACGATCATACGGGTCATCCGTCCACACGTCCCCCCCCCCCGCGTTCCCGCTTGCGGGTTTGCTAGCTTGTGCTTGCAAGGTGACGTGATAATGGAGATGGTAGGATCATGGGTTCGGAGCCTACCTGTATAAGGTAAATGTTGGACGTTTTTTCTCTTCTTCTGATTGTTCGCTTGTGTACGTGGGTTGGGTGGTTGGGTGGTTGTTGGTAAATAGGGGTGGGGGCGGAGGATTTTTGAAGATTTTGTCCCAGTTTTTTTTTGTTGGAGGTGTGTGGGGGGCGGTGTGAGGTCACGATGGGGGAAAGAGGAAGGTTTGGAGACGGTACGTGGTGTGGGATGGGGGATGGGGGAAGGGTCGGTTTTGTATACGAGGGAGGATGCGGGGTTTGGAGGGTGTGTGGTATCTAGATGATGTATCGTGGTTTGGTGAGTTTACTGTAGGGCTGAAAGTAGGTATCTTTTCTTTGTATATGGAAAATGATGTGTGCTTCTCTTCATTGGGGCTGTTTTTACATGTGTCTGTGAAGGCTCCGTGTGCCGCATGGGAAATTGTTTGCTAGAGTATGTCCGAAGTAAAATGAATATTCGGGCAAGATGTCCAGACATAGCTTAATTAGCAGATATTCTCTAGGCTGCACGGCGGTCCTCAGGGAAATTTGAAGGGTGAATGTCGGGCTATGTGAGGACGCTCTTTGCTGCGTATTTCCATACACGTGGCCATGCAGTCCCTGTCGTGTGCGCATTTGTATCGCATTTTCATGGTGATTTGATATTGCAAAAGCGGCTTGAGAAACAGTTTGAAATAGAATGCTCTGAAGAGATGCAGCAACTCAGATTTAGATATCAAACCAAGCAGCACCGGTCTGCTGGATGGCTTGATGCAAGCCAAGGTCGAGGGTTGGTGGAAGCTATGGCGTCACCCTGCGACCCTGAAGATCGGCAGCGACGGCCTCTTCGGCGGCGCTCACTGGCCGTCCACCAACAACAAGATGCCCTCGACGGCTCGACGCATACCAGACATCTCGATGCCCTCCGACGAGCGCTGACCAACCCTCTGCTCCAATGCACCCAGCCCTCTCTACATTTGCCGATAATGTCGTCAAATACCGTGACGCCCTCTTCCTGCTCGCGCCACCTCTCTACGTCGTCCTTACGGCTGTCGCAGCCCTCTACACGCCCACGCACCATTCACTTCTCGTGACGGCAATCTCCTGGCTCATTATATGGGTTCCCACAGTCTTCTGGGTCGGCATATACTCCAACAGCAGCAGGCCGCAGAGGAAGGCTGCCTGGCTGGCTGGCGCACTCTTGGCTCTTTCAGCAGTATGCGACCGCGCCGCGTGCGACAAACATGGCATTTGGGCTACAAAGGTAACCGCCTGTGTAACAACGACTCCCTCTCGCACTTCTTGACTCCCTGCAGGCTCTGTTGCTCTTCCTTGCCAACTTCTTCGCCGACAATGAACTACTTGCAAAGCGCCTTGCACTACCCACATACACTGTCCCAGACGACCATGCGCATGCCACCGAGAAGAAACTTCCCGCCGATGCGTCAGGTCACATAGATCAACCCGGGACGTTGTTGGTGCTGACCGTCTGCGCGAGCTGCGCCCTGGGCGTCTACACCATACCCACCACGTTTATGCTTGGACTATGTAGCGCCATTTTTGCGGCCGTTGGTCTTATTACATTCAGGTCCATAATCGTGGCCGCAGCACCGGATGAAGGTGAAGACACAAAGCGCAGGGTCACGGCTGGTACTCTGGATCTCCGCGCTTCGATATCAGGGGTTCAAAAGGCACAACGGCTGGCGGCGCTGAGGGATGTCGCCGTAGCCATTGCGGTCGTGTGCGGTATCGCATCCATTCTCATGGAATCCTCGGTATCTGCGAGCAGCATTGCATGGGAACCTGTGTACCGGGATTATAAGCGCGAATGGAGAGAGGTACACAACTTCCGCATCCTTCAGTGTTTTTTGTGGATGCTACCTGTTACTGCATTTCTAAACTTGCTTACTTTTATCATGGTATGATATCCCCGAATCCTTGATCTGGAGCTAGAACTTTAGCAATATTATCTAGGGAATTCTTGAACCAGCTAACTCGTTGCAGCTCTACCTAATAGGCGCTGGACACCTAACTCTAGTAACTGTATTCTCGCTTCTTGGCACAAAGATGTTCTCCTCGCCGTCCTCCTCCTTCATGGTCTTCATGGTCATTTTCGATGCAACTGCCTTGGTCTATCTCGCAGAGAAGCGCTTCCGTGAGACGGGTGAAATGCGACGTTTCAGGGGATTAAGAATTATCACCTTCCTCGCCACAGCTGCAGCAGTTGGGGGACTACTTGTAGGACGCTATAATGCATCACAAGCAAAACCAGTAAAATCTGACGGGTTCTTTGTTCCGTCTGATGTCGTCTCCGGCCCATCGCTGGATCCGATCCCGATAGACATGAGTAAAGGACACCCTGCTGCCCAGTTGATGGATGCGGCTGAAGCAGATTTCCAAAAACTTCTTAATCGACAGTCAAAATCTCTTCCTGAGGCTGTGGCTGAATACCGCCGTAGGTACGGGATACCGCCGCCTCCACATTTCGATAAATGGTACGAATTTGCTACACGAAACGGTGTTGTAATGGTGGACGAATATGACATGATCAGTGAGATGCTACTACCGTTTTGGGCTCTGAAGCCAGCAACGATCCGGTCGCGCGTTGCGAATGCCCTCGGTCATGAGGACAGTTCACTACTGGCTGTTGCGATAAGACATGGGGCAGTAGAGAACTATCAGAATGGCGAGGAATGGCAACAGCAGGCGACCGTTGGCATGATGAAGCAATTCGTACAATACCTGCCCGACATGGACCTAGGCTTCAATTTGCACGACGAACCACGAGTAGTGGTCCCCAATAACCTTCTTTCTTCGATGGTTGCCAAGGCAAGAAACGAAGTTCTTCCACGTTCTGCGAAGAATGCTTCCCCTCGCAATGGGTTTTCTGCTCGTCCGGCGGATTTGAATGATGGTACTCGATTCGTTGAGAGCAGTACGACTAAGTTTAATCGCTTCGCACATCAGCAGACCTGGACTCATTCGAGATTATCGTGCCCTGCCGACTCCCAAGCCCAAACGTTTGAAGACGATGCTGCCGACAACCGCAAGGTCTATGCCGCCAGTGATCTAGGCTTCATCTACAATATGACCGCCTTCTCCGACATTTGCAACTCTCCTTCGCTTTCCTCGACGTATGGATTTTTCGAACGACCCAACGCTTTCAATATCATTCACGAGCTTACGCCTGTATTTTCGCAGTCTAAGATTTCCAGCTTCCAGGACATTTTGTATCCGAGTCCGTGGTATTGGATGGGCAAGGTAGGATATGACGAAATGCGCGACACAACCTGGGAAAATAAGACGAATAGTCTTTACTGGCGCGGCTCTACAACAGGAGGTTTTAGTCGTAATGGTGGCTGGAGACGTCAACACCGCCAACATGTTGTTCGGCGCCTCAATGCACCCGATACAGCTCAAATTCTGGAGCCAGTTCGCGGCCCATCCAAGGCCGGCGATACCATAACCAACTATACTATTGCCGATGTCGATCGCAGAGCGCTGAAGAACCTCATAGACGTGCAGTTCTCGCACATCGGTCAATGCGACCCCGGCGACTGCGACGCCCAACAAGAATTCTTCAAGGTAACCGAGCGTGTCGACGGCCAAGACGCATGGTACTACAAGCACCTCCTGGACATGGACGGCAACGCCTTCTCCGGCCGCTTCTACAGCTTCCTCAAAAGCAAAAGCCTCACGTATAAAATGGCCCTCTTCCGCGAATGGCACGCCGAATGGCTCAAACCATGGGTCCACTACATCCCCCTCAGTCTCCGTGGTGACGAGCATCTCGATCTTGTCCGCTGGTTCAGCGGCACCAAAGTTTCTGATAAAGATGGAGATGGGAAACTAGATCATAGCGATGCCGATGGTGGGAAAGCTGGGGGCAATGGAGATAGTGAAGGGGAGAAGAGGGCGAGAAGGATTGCGAAGAGGAGTACAGAGTGGCATGATAAAGTGCTGAGGAATGTGGATTTTGAAGCGTGGTTTTTTAGGCTGCTGCTCGAGTATGGGCGCGTGGTGGATGATAAGAGGGAGGAGATTGGGTTTCCGGGGCCGTGAGAAGAGAGAGAAAGAGAGAAACGATAGGGGGTACAGAGTTTCTTCTCTTTTTTTTCTTTCTGATCTGGATTGGATTGGATCGGACTGGATTGCGTTGGTGTTTCTTTTGCATCTTGCATCTGAGGGTGGGATGTTAGAAATAGATTGGCGTGGCGTGGAGTTTTTATCATATCGTATGTCAGGAACTCGAGGCTAGTTTCAGAAGCAAAATGGATGTCTTGGGACTTGATCTGCGGTTTTTTTGTTTTGTTTTGTTTTGGCTTTCCGCTGATTGAGCGAGAATGATTCATTTGATTTGTGATGGATGTGGTACTAACGACGGATTAAGCAGTTTCGCTCTTTCTCGTTTTCTTCTTCTTCTTCTTTCCTCCCTTTCGCTGAATTTGCAAGTACGAATGTCAAGAATCAGGAATACTGCTGTTTTTTTTTGTCGACGTATCAATTAGCAACGTTCATATTGGACCTTTCTATTCTCTCTTTGCTGTACGTTCTCGTTACAGATTTTACTCAAAAGACTGGTGTCTGGCACACAGGTATGCAAGTCTTCCCCCTGAGACAGTCTTCGTGTAAACTACGAGTGAAGTATGGGATGCAACATTTTGATGGCGTTGAACAAGGGGCTTGCTTTTAGTTCTGGGTGTTTGGCTTGAATTGGGTTTTTACTGAGCAGAGTATGTAGCGTGTATGTATTGAGAGATGTGTGGGGGAAGTATTTGTTTTGACATCGTCTCCACCCTTAATGTTCCTCTTGCGAAGAAGACTGTTTGCTACTATTTGAGCAGCGTTTGTAGAAGGTGCAAGGGGAACGTTAAGGGTGTGTTGGGAAAACCTGTGTTAGGTCCGTGGTTTTGTGGTGACTGTTGATTTATATTTGTATATGAAGTACTGGATGTTTGCCTTTCTCCCTTTTTTTGGACCACAGGAGGTGCAAAGATTGTTGATTATGGGATTCCCACTAGTGAGGTTGTGTGTGTGTGGATGCTGTTGAATGGGGAGAGAAGATAGCATCTTCTAATCGTATCTTGAGACGACAAATTAATTACGACAATGGTAACGAGCATTTACACCTTTCTATTGTCATTTTTGGTGGAAAACTGCTCTTTCGGAATACTAAGTTAGTTGTGTTATTGTCTTCTTCCTATCGTGATGTTCATACACTTCCCCAAGATGAATGACCTATATACTTTTATACATGTTGATTCAGGCACAGTAAAACTCGCTAGTATCTGAGTTGGTTCTTAAAACATCTACTCTCCGTACAATAAGATACTAGAAGTTCTTATATCACCTACGCTACATTGTAGTAAATAACAATATAACCCGTCAAATGATAACAGCATCTTCTAAAACTCTCGTTATATCATCGTGATGTAGTGGACACTCATCCCGAGTGAAGATTCCTCAGTTGGAAGTATCTTTGCACTTCGAAGTAAAATGCTGTATTCTCACACATTTTGGTACCGTAAATGATGTGTTTTGTTATGCTACATCGTCGAAGACTGGGCTGCACTTGTATCTGTTACTCAGAATTGAATTATCCCGACGTGTTGTTGAGCCGCTCTTCGCTCATTCTTCATACAGTCTCAAAGCTCAACGACTAATGCCATAAGTTCAAGAAACTGCACCAGACTTCACACTCCTGCTCACCATTCTCAATGATTGCGGTTCAACAGCAATACTCTGATATAATGAATTATAGCCAAACCTTAAATAATGTCGGTCTTTTTTTTTTGCGAGTTGTTATCAAGTTTCAGCTTGATACCACCGTCTACTTCCAACTTTCGGCGATTTATCATATCATCCTAGGAAACATATCGTGATATCATTTCTGGATCTATAGCTTTGGGCGCGAGCATTATGCTTGCAATCAAGTCACGCGTGCATGTTGGTTTGGAAGGGTACATCATACGATTATCCATAAAGGCGATGAGAACTTCGGCTTCCGACACTGTCCATAAATGATCCAAAAGCCTGGATATCGCTGTTCGGGAGCATGGTTCCGTATTCCCCCTGGTCTCCCTATTGTCACGCATTTCTATATCTCAACCCCTGCGCAGTTGTATAACTACTCGCAATCGAAATCAAGGATATTTCCGTATACACGTCTTTCTCTGGCTCTACCAAGTCTCACAATCAACGATGATGTACATACATTCTGTCACAGAAAATAATATTTTATACAAAACTTGTCGCCCGGACAATATGTTGAGTTATATAAACAGACATGGCATAACAATATCATAAAACCAAGTCATATTGCTCAAAAGCTAATCAATGACACACGATACCCGATACCTGGGGTAACGTCGATAGATCTAGAGCGCTCCGTCCAACTTGCTCCTCGTCTCGAAGCCTGGGGACTGATTGATCTACGGGACAATGTCGTCTCCGACTCCGAGATATATAGTTCAAAAGACGAAAACTTTGCTTACTGTTACATTGGCTAGGCCAACCATTAAACGCGCAAGCCTCAGTCCGTTTCATAGCTGATCAGTGGGGATAAGACTTGTGCGCGGCGTAATACCGGCCATGTGAAACTTTCAATCATGTATGACATATGCGCTTCGGACCGAAAGCCACAACACGACGCGGCCAGAGTTCCCGTAACAGGGGCATCGGCTCTCACTTCACTTTCGAGTCGAGTTCTCTCGCCATACTTACTTACTCGCCTTAGGTGGAAATCATGCGATAAGGGCGCTGATTCGCTGATATGATTAGGAGTTGAGAAGGATCATACCCTGGAGCATCTTGACATGTATACACTTGGACAACGGCCTAACGGCGAGTCACATCTGTAAGGAAAACGAGTCGTATCGTTCTCTGTCGTCATGGTCACAGGGTCTAACGACATACCCTGCTTTGCTGACAAGGCAAAGGGAAAAGACTCAAATGGCATGACTCGGAGCACTAACAGAAGTCGAGGTGAAAAGAAAGTCCGGATAGAAACTATATCTGCTGCTTGTTTTGCTCATCAATGCTAGCATACAAGCATTTTCTTCAAGATCGAACAAGAATCCCCGCAAACCTTATTAGGACCCCTCTTTCACGAACAACGAGAGGTTTTATATTCCTCAGGATACGGCCTGAAAATGTATTTTATCCTATTGGAAGAATATCCCTGAACGCCATAGTAATTCTCTGGCCGATCATTGCGCGGCATTACGGAAGCAAAACTTATTCTTCTATCATGTTGTAGGGGCGATCACCGAGAACAGTTTCCCGGTTCATCATGCGATCATAGAGATATAATATGTGACTTTATCGAGGATCTGCTGACAGTTGATCGGCCGGCTATGCATGCAACATGGGGATGAGTTTATAATGTCGGTGGAGTTCCACGATGATTTGGACTCCAAGTAATAGTTCCGGTAATAATGAATGTGAAGCAGAGTCATCTACGATGGCAATTTCCCGCCAGTAGATTCCACCACAGAGGTAACATCTTCTTTGAGCTCTGGGATAGCATTCGAGACTTGCCAGGCTAATTGCTCTTGCAACATCCGGTATGCATCGATGCGGCCGTTCAGCATCTGATTCATCCGCTGCACAGTTTCCACAAACTCGCGAGTGAAAATATCAGGGTTCCTGGAGTTCTCGACATAGGACATGACCTCAGGTGGTATATCGATTTGTACAGAAGGTGCAGTCCTCGACAACTTTACTAAGTTTTGCACCAGCGACTGACTGTATACGCGTCAGCTACACAGCTGTTCAAGTTGCAGACCTCTTCACGTACATCTCACGCTTCATAGCCTCTTGTGTCGTGTTGCCATGGTGATCATACGCTTGTACTATAAGATTGTAGAGGTTTTGAACAATGTCTTTCAGCTGGGCTTCGACCTCGACAATCACCGCTAAGAAGAACATGAGCATAGTGAACCGATAGTATGCTTAGCTACCTACAATCTGAATTTGGGGTTGTCATGTTGATGTTGAACGTGAAGGTTGGGAAGGAGTGTTGGCGCGTGACAACGTGACAACGTGACACACAGGTTGGAGGTGCCAAGCTTCGGCTAGACTTACCAGCCCCGATGATCAGCTGGCGTCATAGCTCACTTTACATTCACCTTTGAACAACGACCTTCACCTCGACCGCACAGCAGACCTTCATCACGTGTTCAAAGAGTTGCTGAGGGTAGGCAATAATGAGAATCCTCCTGCGATGGCGGAGAGCATGATCCGGGATCCCGATGTCCCTCTTTCGCAGCCACCAGGCCTTCGGGCCTCAGCACCATCTACTCCAGGAACTACAGGGAGCAGCCTCCATAATCATCCTCGTGCCACAAGCCCAAATCGACTAGCTGATTCTCAGAAGCTCCGGTTAGATCCTACCTCGGACAAAGCGACTGCAGCATTTATTCGACGCACGCTGTGCTCCCACAATGTGCTACTTGGTAACGGCGAGAAAGGACGCAGTACACCGCGGCCGATTGAAGACGTGCTACCTCCTTTGACAAGTTCAAATGCCGTTGATCTCCAGTTATACGGGGTCATTTCTGTGATCATCAAGGAGTTTGTACAGACGTGGTACTCCAAGATCACTCCAGACCAAGTATTTGTCAATGAAGTGATTCAAATCATCGCTCATTGTACCAGAGGTCTTGAGCAGCGCTTACGAAAAGTCGATTTGGAATCACTGTTGCTAGACGAGATCCCTGAGTTACTTCAGTCCCATCTAAGGTGTAGGTGATTCCGATCCTGGACTATTGCATGAAGTGTGTCTGACACTCTGTGGCTAGCTTTTCGCATAGCGAAGCGACAAGCCACCTCGTACGATTCACTGATATCAGACCCGCGTACAATCTATCATACGCTCCACCCACACCCTGCACTCTCGCCTGTTCCAACGGATACGATTCCGGCCTCAGTGGTTGAACAGCGGGAAAGCGAATCAGCATGGCGTCAACTGCTTGTTCACGGCGTATTGGCTCTACTACTACCCACTGAAGATCTAGAGAATGGGTGTCTTCGCGCACTAGTTGCCGAGATCTTTGCGGAAA